TTCTTTTTGATCTAACTTAAAAGCAAAACTGGTCTGATAGTGGTCTTGGTGATTTGTGGGTGTGAATATATAAGACAAGGGACAACTGCTTGAAATAGGTCACACACGTGTATTTTGCGAGTATCTTCAAATATGCTGACTCCATACATTTTAGAACTTACCACAAGTGTCCGTAATTCGTGAAGAAATTTGAGATATTCTGTTTTAAAGTCGATATATTCTAACCCCTCTCACTGTCGTGAGAAGGCATCATTAATGCAGATACTAGTTGTCTAGGAGAAACACTTTGCTGCAGTCGTAACCCCTGTACACTCGACAATAAGAGTTCATCCTCGAACCTTAAGTTACTGCTTTTAGTTTTACCACTTTCCAACCGACCTGCTTGGTATGGTAGTTTGATGCATGCTACTTATATTGACAGATATAAGTAGTACGTAGCAGCAATCGGAAGTGGGATGCCTACTAGCAGAAGATTGAATTGGAGAAAACAGGAAGGGAAATAGATAGCCATTGTAGTAACAGAATTAGAAGGATCATGAAGCATGTAAAGGACAAATGAAGGAAGATGTGCAAATAATGTATTTAATGAATGGTAATTATATTTTATCAACTCACAATAAATTGGTAAATCGGTACGTCATGGTTGCAGCTATGGTCAAATTTGTTAATCACCACACGAATATTGTGATTCAAATCCCTGATTTTAGAGTGATACAGTGGTCGAAATAATCGGGTATTTATTTGTTGGCAACTAGTACATAAATTATTGAACCTCGATTTATTCATTTAATTAGATAGTTAAACGTCTTCTCTGTTAATACTGCAAAGCAATCCGGATGATCATTTCGTTTACCAATGAGAAATCAAAGTTCTTGCAATTTTAGCTATCTTATCTCGAAGTTTATTCCAAGTTACATTCAAACTAGTTGCTATCAATTGTGCGTTTTCTAACGGAAACCGAAATTTTTTAAGTCGATAACTGACGTGGAGTTTCTTCTTTTTCTTATTATGTGAACATTTTCATGTTTGAAATACCTGAGCGTTGTGTTTTTCACATACATCGAAAACAATAATTCGACTGGTTCCGTTATTATATTCATCACACAATCGATTGGTCACACAAATCTCTACGTTCCAAACTATAACAACACCAAAGATGCCAATTGAGCGGTCGGGCAAGTGATTCAGGAGATTATGTAAGTGGAACACAAGATCACAACACGCCACCAATTATAAGTCCTAATAAATACATAAATAGGACAAAGCTTAGCAACGGATTTGTAGGTGGTGCAATTTAAAAGATAATACAATAGTTAACATACCAAAAGGAAACTTGAACTCAGAGCTCTATAAATATACTATAAAACAACAGTTATATTATTAAACATCAAGTGTATACAATCTGATTCTCTAAAGAATACCTACTGAAACTTCATATCACTCGTTCTGCGTCCCTTTATAGTACTCCCCTCCTTTTTTGGTGGATTCTGATATGAATTTCGTTAGGGTCTCATGTATTAAGAATTTTTTTCGTTTAATTTGTCCTGTTCGTCATAAAAATAACTACGATCTTCTTTCTTGCACACAAGAAAAGTTGACCAAAAATAATCGCGAACGCATATGATGATAGTATACTGGGATTATGACTTATTCATCGGTCAATAAAGTGGATATATATATATATATATATATATATATATATATATATATATATATATATATATATATATCCCGATTAAGACTTATACGGTTCAGTAGGTGGCTACACATTAATTATAGTAGATAGCTATGCATGGAGATAGTGCGTTCCTGGGTTTTGATTTAATATCGTAAATATTATTTCATATTTAACTATCTGTTCTTCTCATTTGCTGTTACTACGGAGCTGGAAAATGAGAGACAGACTGTGGTATGCATCGGTTGACATTAAATGGACGGCAATTATGGTTCCCTGCCACCCATTTCTTAGAAATTGTAGGGTGAGAAAAGAGAATGTAGGGACCGGTGATTGGTGTACTTGTTTTGCAAGTGTGTGCTCAAATGATAATGAACAAACATTTTGTCACCTTTTTAATAATTTTGTAATTGGTCGTAAACTGTTCATCTTTGTAATCTGATTAGTTGAAATCGAAATAGCATCAACTGCTTTGATTGAATGTCAGAATTTGCATTTTTACATTGGAAATTTAACGATAATGAATAATTCTTTTTGTGTAATCTTAGTCTTGAAAAAAATTTAGACTTTTGAAGAAAAAGACACCAACTTAATTGCACTACCGTGCAATCCTACTGTTAGTGAATGTGTATTGGGATAAATTTTTGTTTTCCGATCAAGTATACCTTGAATTGAAGTCTTTAGTTATCTTGACACGAATAATTATATGTATCACATTAAAAGAAAGTTTTGGAAAAAAGGAACTGAGAACCGGTTTGAATGTTTGATAATAGTGATTACTGAATGAGGTCGGTAGTCAAATGTTGAATACCAAATTAATAAAAAAATTATCAACAAAGTGTGTGCATACGTTTTTTAGTAACACATAGTATGTTAATCGGAAAAAGAAATCAGCATATCAATAAATCATCGTGATAAATTACTGATTACGACATGTATAAATCAGGCGAACGAACCGTAAACCATCGGTTGATGAAGCGACTTTTACGGTATATTAAAGAAGTAATAATTTTTCCCGAAATAGGCACATAATATTCATTAATGGGTTATCTTGTAAACTTGTGGGTGGCCCTGAAAAGGGCCTTTACTCGGTCTCGCGGTCGGACGGCGTAACTATGAGTTGTTTATAGCGCCACACATTGGACAGTTCACTGCTCGTACGTTTGATGATGGGTCGTAAGCACAAAACCTGTGGAATATTGCTTCGCAAGGACGAAAAATCCAAGCAGCTGCATCACCAGTTTCATATGGAGGCTGTGCAAGATTACATATATCACACAAACGGTTGTCATCATTCTCTTCTTAATATTCGATATCCCGTTTCGTGACCTCTTCGGAGTTAATAGAAACTATTTCCTCCTCGTCGTTACCAAACGTTTCATCCAAATCCATATTTCCTACATGTATCGAGGGCATTGGAACGTTAGTCGACGTTCTTGATTGGGTATACAAATGAGGTTTTGCGTAATCACCTTTCATTTACATTATAAATTAGCAAATTGCTTACCAGGAAGGTTGGCGTGTGAGCACACTTTGTATCGCATATTAAATATATCTTGATCATTCAAACATTTGCCATAAGAATGGTAAACAAAATGCTTAATGTCGAATGCTGCGGTACCAGATATCAAAAGCGGTCGCATAGTTTCAAACTCTGCTTCCGTTAACCTGAGCACCCAAGAATTACCGTCGTACCTCAAGGAATTTCACTCGTGATTGTGATGCACATTCCCACGTACAACAGTCCAGTAGCCGTCTATAATCTGACAATACATGAAGGCCGGACATTGAGTGTTCATGGAGGCCCTTAATGACAAAAAATTTTAATAACATTAATCAAATTACCTCCGTCTGATCCGCTGTGACGAACCGCTAGTTGTTATACGAACATGTCTCCAGCACACTAATTTAATATACGAGTTTTCATCTCTATACAAATGCGAATCTCGAGCTACATAATGACAGTAAGTCGATCTTTCATAATTTTTGATAGCGGACTTCAACGCTTCAAGCGATGGGAACGCAACGAGAAACAATGTTGTCAAAAAGACTTCCTTCATTTCTGTTACGTGAGAAACAACAGCGCTTGTACTCGGAACGTTACTCTCCTCCATAATGATGATCAAAATGTACTTCGTCGACAAGTACTGATGTTTTATAACTATTTGACAATACATGACTAACCAATTGAAACGAATTATGAAAATAGCCTTTTCATTGGGCGAAACGGTATGAAAATTATTGTAATTTTGGGGTTGAAAAAAATCTTTTTTAAAGGGTGGGTATTTTTTATTAAAAAAAATGCCGTAGGGATAATTAAAACCCTCAATGTCCGTTGACCGGATACCATCAGCAATGATCTAATGTAACAGAGAACAAACCAGCTCCCATCTGAAGAAGAAATTAGGGAAAGACTATGGAGACGAATTGGGCACATTGAGGAAATCATCAAATTGCATCACGAGACAAGCGCTAACTTGGAATCCTGAAGGGAAATGGAAAAGAGAAAAACCAAGGTACACATTGCATCGAGAATCGGAAGCAAACATGGAAAGAATGAATAGCACTTGATAACCGCTAAAAAAAGAGTCTTGTTCAGAGTAGGTTGGAGAATCCTGGTTGACAGCTTGTACTCTACGAGAGTTAACAGGCTTAAGTAATTAGAGTGAATGCATTCATATTATTGTGAATGATTTTGAGAAACATCATCCATCTCCGACTATTAGTTACCACAGCTTTTCAGATCCCAACCAGTTAATATGGATTTATCACTGTGGCTAAGCCTAATAATCAATGGACACATAGACTGATGCCTCATTTTGTTTTTCTGTCTTTAAATTTCTCACAACTTACTCCTATACTAGCTGACATAAATAATCGAGGTAGGCGGTGGTTAAGCATATGTAATACATTTTGTGAAGTCTGATGATCAAAATCTTTTCCTGGCCCTTACAGTTTTTCTCGATTTTTTCTTGACATTCTTTAATTATAGGACTGTATTGATCAAGTCAATTATGTACAGAAAAAATTACAAACTGTAAAAAATGTGGCCAACCAATGTTTATTGCATGTGGATTTTAAGACCCAACAAGATTTCAGCATGTATATTGAGTGAGTAAATTCTAATGTTACTTATTAATAACTAATATTAATCTAATGCATTTATAGGCATTTGTGTAAGAAATCAAACTTTATTGAGTAGAGATGTGTTGCTAGATGAATTAACTCTATGTCTATCATTACGTAATAAGGACATTGGTTATATAAAACAAGCACCAATGACAACACTAGCTATGTTATAAATTGATTGGAATTTGAGATTATTATGAAATTAAACTTGTGGAGGTAAACAGTTCAGTTTCTATCACGTAATGTGAAATTGATGAGCTCCCTGAAAAAATATGATGATTCCGGGTTTTATCTGGTATACAGTACATAAATCTTAGGAGTCAAACTAAAACGAAGCTGTTGTCTACTGCTTTCAATTTTTCAGTCACAATCAAATGGTCTTCAACTAATAATACTGTTAGTGGTTAATTTAAGCATGTTTCTGGGCAAAAAGAAAATCTGTTTAAATTAAATGTTTCACTTAAATGTCATCAATTATTCAGGTTTTTGACTAATGAGCACTGTGCGGTAGGATTATTTCCATAATATAATTCGTCCTAATCAAAACCGATTAACTATATATATGTATTCCACTGACCGTCACATTAACTTTGACATTAATTGAATTCACCTTATACAATAAATATAACCCTAGAAATCTTCGTTTATGAAAATGTTCGCCGTTATACAACACATGTATTCTTTTGTTACGTTTTTTCTTAAAGATCATAAAAATGTCAAGTCTTAGCAATTAAAAAAAAGATCGAATTTCACTTTTTTCAAAATAGATCCAAACAGAAAGAATTGGACGATATCTATGATGTACTTTATACAAAATTGGATCAGTTCACTATACATTCAATTTATTCTAATATTTATATGAAACAATTAAACAGTATTTTAGAGAGATTGTGTATTATACGTGAAGAAATAATTAAACCCATAACCATTGATCTGATCAATAAAAATTCAAACAATATTGTTTCACTTATTAATAGCCATGATGTAAGTTATTATATAATTTAATAATTAACTTTAATTGCTCACTTAAAGTCAATGTAAATTAGTCAGTGTAAACAAAATGAAAGGAAACAGATCTATCTATTAAAAACGATGTTTATGTGATCTATGTCTTTTTCAATGTTCGATAAATGTGATGTATCCAGGATGTTCAGGTACTTTTATTTTCATCATTAATTTGATGAGTACTACATATTAGAATCTAATTTCATTAGAGATTATATTTTAAGCTCTAACTTGTTCAATGTTTGTATTTTTCGTTCATCATGTCCGGTTGTGCTACTCTAACATGCTCATAACAGAAGTCTGCAAATAACACCAGATAATTAAAATAAATTCTTTAATGAAAATTACACTTCAACAATCAAAAAATGAGATATCTTACAATTTTTGATAAATTATTAATTTTAATATTTGATTCAATTGAAGTTAGACTACCACGGAAAACTTGGTCATGGATGCGCACTGTTGAGGAGTCTCATAATAGGACGAAATCGCCATCCACTGCTTCCAGGTTTTTCATAGTGATCTAACTTCAATTGACTCATGATCTGAACCATCGAAACTACTACAATCTCCACGTAACCCTTTCTGATATAAATTATTAATTATCTTAGCAAGGATCTAACAATATCAGATGAAATGTATGGAAATAGCTTCAATTATATTAGTTGTTTACTTTCTCGTCAGCAAATAACACTTTGTTTTTGTCTCTTTTTTATTCTTTTTTTTTCTTTTGAAAAGTTAAATACTTCAGAAATTTATCAACTTCGAGAAGAAGCTCTACAAATTCTTTCAAATATAACTTCAATTGAGTTAAAATCAATAATTTTGAAAGATCCAAATCATTATATCAACTTAATAATTCATATGAAATGGAAATTTCAAGAATTAAATAATTTAGAATTTCATCATGAAAGTATTCAATTGTTCAATAATCAATTAACTTTATTCTTTTCATCTTTAATTAATAATAATAATAATACATCAATTCAACAACAAAATAACTGTGATTCTACTAAAAGTTTAGCTTCTAGACGAAGAGAATTTTTAATTCAATACGATATACAATGTAAATTCTTCTTTGAAAAATTAAATTTGATTAAGGTACAATTTGAAATTATCAAACAAATGTTCTCATGTTGTATGAAACAAGATATTCTTAATAATAGTGATGATTTAATAGATTCACATTCATTACAATCACCATTTATCAATGTTTATGCATGTTTCAATACCATGAAACAGTTCTTAAAATCATATTTTGAACAGTTGAAAGTAAGTTTGGTTATTATTATTATTAATGACCATTAATAAGGATATTGTAAAAATTGTGTGAATTTTGTTAAAATGATGAATTGAACTAAGTTATATTGATGTGTGTGCTACTTATATTGACATAAGTAGTATACGATGTTTGTCGTGAACAGAAGATCTGGCAGCAGAGAGATATGAGGATCGAACAGTAAAGAATGGAAACAGGATGCAATTTGTATGAAAATGCAAGAACAGTGAAGTCTGAGCTATTTTGAGACAATTGGTGGACATTATGTAGATTAAGCATTTACTTTATGATTGTTAGATTGTATTAACAAGTCCCGTAGTTTTGTGTTAAATACATCCCATTGTTCCCACTCACTTTCTGTTCACTACAATATCACTCTTAAAAACCTGGAAGCACTGGACACTAATTGTTTTAAATCATTAGAAAGGCACATTTAGTCTGACAATTAAAACAAGTAATGCAACACTTGACATTCGAACTCATACAGTTCAGTATTCCAGTTGAACACAACACTAGTCAGACCTTAAATGTATAGTGGATTGAAATACAAATATGCAAATGGTAACAATGTTATTCAAAGAAGAACGTACGAATAATGGGTTAATGATATAATACACAAGAATATATGATCAATACAACGAAGTTGCTGCGCTTCAACCAGGTTGGTGGTGGATATGGAGGACCCACCTAGGGAAGTTGGAGAACAATGATTCCAAACCAATGGTAGACATGGTCTCCAGGATCCTAAGGGAACAAATGGCGTATGAACTTGTTGTTGGCCACCAGCTACCTTGGGACTGCATCTCCTGACGTTGCTCTACTACCTTGAGGATTAGACCTCTGTGTCAAAGGCTCGGAGTGTGGCCCCCTGAGAAAACCACATACTTCGGTTTGGGCACACGGCTAGTATCTCAGCCCTCACACAAATCGAACGACGGAGTGTGATGTATACATATTCGGTGTCTCAATGTATTAATGTTTTTGTTCAAATAAAGTGAGAAATGCTAAGTATCAGAATCCATACTTGGTTGTTGTTTTGAATGAAAATTACACAGATACACGCATTTTTTTCTACCTTCCTTTAAATTTTGAGTTTTAGTCCTCTGTCATACATGAAATACAAAAACTTATTTGTGTATTTTAAAGTAAATATTGAGTTCTTTTTCTTAGAAAATCGAATCATTTATTAAAACAATTGAATATGATTCAATCTTCTTAATTTCAATGACAATACAACGCGTACTTACAAACGAGTCAAAACAATTGATTAATAATGAATTATGTAGTAAGTTATATTGGGTTTAATTAATGTAAATTTAAATGTCTTAAAGAATAAGGAGAAATTTCTCCATTAGCAAACTTTAACAGTATAAGGTTGTCGAGATTGTTGAGTTTTAAATGTGATCATGAACCGATCAAACTTAAACCACTATAACATACAGGGATATAAAACTTTAAAAGTGTTTTATCGAGAAATTCGTATAGAATGAAGATGGTATTTGTCACCTCACGTCTGTTAAATATTTTGATATATATATATATATGACAGATTCAGAATACCGAATCGAACTTGAATGGTCTGAATTCCCAACTTCAGTCAATTTGTTATAAGTTCTGAGAGCAAAGTTGTACTGTAGATTGTACAACGGTGTATTGGCAGTACATTATTTATCTCCGACTACCATCAAGTAAAACGATGCTACCTTTCCACAATGGAAGGAGATGGATAAACTAGGGTGCCACATAGATCCTCTTAGCTAATAGTGAGTTCTGAAATATATAATGTCAACACATACAAAACTACTCACAAGAAGTTCATGTGTGGCCGACTCCAATTGGTTGTCCCTTTGGCTATACACGTTTATGAAGTGCACCTGAAGTAGTATTTAAATAAACTTTGTGATTAATCACTAGAATAAAAACTAATATCATATTCGTCTGGTCTTTAGACTGAACTTAAATGACGACAATGCAAATATAACATTAGTTACTGACTCAGTAATATATCAGTGTGAATATCTCAGTTCTTCGATAGGAAGATAGTCACAATCTAAATAGCTCACTGGTGTTAGTTTTAGTTGTAACACCGAATGGTGACACAGTTTTGAATCCCCACAACAGAACCATCAGTTCAATCGAGATCGATGACGAGTACCCACTACTACCAGTATGAAATCTAGCCTTCATTAGAATTGATTGCTTTTCAGTTCGACAAACACCAAAATATTTAACTTCAATACAGACTACAATAACAATAATTTTCTTATGATTAAAGTTAGTTCTCATGAAATTGTTTCTTCATGTATTTCATTTTGTTTCTGTCTTTTTAATTGTCTTTCTTTAGATATTTATCAGATGATAATATCAAACGTGATTTATTGTGAACGACAAATTAATTGTATCAGATATCTATTGAATCGAGTTGAACACTTATTTAGGGAATATGAACACTACTATAAGTCAGTTATTGATAAGATCTCAAACGTTTTCTATTCAGTAAAACAAATAAAAGTAAGTAAGATGAAATACCTTGAAATTAAATCTTGGCAACGTAATTGATGATCGGATTAGAATAATCATTGAATAGTTGTTAGTGTTAGATGGTATGAAACAAGCGATGTTAATATTGAGTTATTTAAGGAGAAAAATGACTGATATCATGCAGAGGAAAAGTGAGATACTTATACTGATCAGTGCTAGATGGTGGAGGTCTTCATTTTATATGGAAAGCATTGCTTCCTTCAAGATGGGAAGTGCAACCCGTTGACGAATACCAGCTAGCCAGGAAATCTAGGCGCTAAGCTTTATCACTATGGGAATTTGTATAGACTATAGTATTTTCACAATCGAAATCATTAGTCGATCTAAGCTAGACCACCATTGGGAACATTGGACGGCCGTTTCGTTCTAATATGGGACTCCTCAGAAGTACACATCCATGATCCCGCACGTGGGACTTGAACCCAGGACTTTCGGTCTCGCGCGCGAACGTTTAGGCTGTAGACCACCAAACCGGCATTTAACGGTGTTAATGTTTAGCAATCTATGATCTAGCGCAACTCTTTATCCTTTGCCTTGGGTGGATAACTGTCTCACATCCGACACGGTTTGAACTCCAGTGAACACAGCCAAGCTTTCTACTGATCGCTTAAAATCTAACGTTTCGTGAGCAACCAACGCCTACAAATTATCATATGATGAATTGATTGAGGTTGAACGATATAAAACAATTCTGTAGAGAGCATTTTTATTTTGATAATGTTAAGCAAATTGTACAATCGTATATATTATTAATTAACATATATAGCAACCTATTACATCATCAAGAATGATCCAAACGATGTTACATCGTAATCTGAAAGAATAATAAAAAAATTGAAGTAAAAATGGTTTCCCAACGTGTGAAATCTAACTAGGAATGGTGGGTTGGATCTGTCGTTATTTGATAAAAAGCATAATCCTATCTGCTTGTCCCTATAAGCATTTTCATTTGACATTGTATATAATTTACAAAGACTATTTTGCTAGGGTTACATGAACAAAATGCATGATGTTCAAGAATCGAGCTTTTAATAAATTTCCATTTTCTGTTTACAAATCTAAATGTTAGACTGGGTAGATAAATATTACCTGGTTTTAGTCGGGACAATTATCGTAACTAGTGGTTAGTGACTGATAGATATGGCTCGTAATCATTCAAATTAGTGAGGTTGTGTTCATTGTTTAATTTCCTATAGATACTGAGTCCCGTAATCCCCTTATATCTTTTTTTTCTATATCTAGTCATTTTACTACTACTGATATGGTGAATAATTATACTACTCTGAGATTTGTCTTCATAAGTTTATCTTGTGGTGCTAATTTCATGTGGTAAATCGGACCGACTCACATACGTTTCAAGTTGTACTTTGTATGTCACCGACTGACTGACAGTCGGAGAAATTAGTGCTCGGTGGATTCACTTTGGAAGCAAATAATTTTCACCTTCGATATCATCTCCTATTCGTGGGGGATACATGTATGAGTGGACTAAGGCGGCAGTTTTACTTTTAACTAATATGGAATCAACTAGTGAAGACAATCTAAGTATCAACATAATGGAAGATTTTTCTCAGAAACCAAGTATAGGTTCTGAGAATTTTGTAGTCCTTGCATTACCCGTATCTTTCACAAACTAAGATTTTTTATCTCTAATATAAATACTTTAAGTAAAAATGCATAGCGTATAGCAGTGTAATCCAGGATGTACATTTCATCCTATTTGTGAATCGTCATTTGGATATACATACATCCCAAACCTGTTCAAAATTCAGTTCTTAGCATAAATAACGGGAAGGTTCAAACATTTACATATCAGTAATCTAACTTGTATGTTTACAAGTTTATGAATTATTCTACTTAACAAGTGAATACTGTAGTCATTATCAATCATTAAAAGTTTTCGTCATTTTCATTGAGTTGATCTTGAACCACTGTATTCATTCAGAACAAAAAGTAGATTATTTTCTGAATGTTCTTGATCGATGAAGATATTGTGTGCTCAACTACAGCCTCTCTAGGTATTAAGTCACAGAATCGTATTCACTAGATTTGTACCTGTTGGTTGGAAGGCCAATTGTACTTCGTTGTTCAGTCTGACAATCAGCCAGTCTAATCATGTCCGTGGTTTTTGAACTCGTGCCAAATTATGATGAAAATAATTCTTCGATTACATAAAACTTTCCAATAAATAACTTTATTCACTACCATTTGTCTAGTAATCACTTTTTTTCATTGAAATGTCTCATAGCTTTTGCTCCCTCATTTTTTTCGCATCTAAAATTGGATTTTAGGATTATATTGGGATATTAGATGCTTTTCACTACTGGATAAATCAAGTGGAAGGTGAATTTCAAGCTATCAAACAAAATGGTAATACAAACACTTTGACAGGTATTTATTATACGAAAGAAATGCAAATTTATATGGAACCTTTGTATGAATCTGTTGTGATACATTTGAAGCAAGTGAGGGATATCATAGTCAGGTTAGTGATTGTGATGCCGTTCAGTCAAATTACATGAGTGGTTGATTTAGAATTATTGTCGACTTTTTTGAAGTGTTTGGCCAAATGTGTTTTCATTATTTAGAATTCTCTACCATGTAACTGAAACAAACCATTTGGAGTTTTAGTTGTCTCGGTGAAAATACCACTCTTCAGCTTCTATGTTACGATTGACTAATCTTATCATTTTTTCTAAAGTCGTTAGTTTGTATATACAAACTTGTCGATAAAATACTCATACAGTATACAATGATCTAATAGTTTAATCACTCGATTTTTAACTGGTAGGTTACGTGTTCGAAACCTCTCTCACTTTTTCTTCTACGTCAGTTTGGATAAGTGGGTAGTATTGTAGTGAACAAGAACACCAGTGGAGACAATCGGATGTATTTAACACAAAACTACAGGACTTGTTAATAAAATCTAACAATCAAATAGTAAATACGTAATTTGCAAAATGTCCATCAATTATCTCATAATGACTCAGACTTCACTGTTCTTGCATTTTCATACAAATTGCATCCTGTTTCCATTCTTTACTATTCGATCCTCGTATCTCTCTGCTGCTAGACCTTCTGTTCATGACTAACATCATATACTACTTATGTCTATGTAAGAAGCACACATCACAGTATCACTAGCCCACATACAAACAATTTGGCCTAAAGCTGAACACATAAACCTGTAATCAACAAATAAATTACATTCTAATTTAATTTAATAGAATATACAAGTGATAGAGTATATACCAAGTGTAGGATACTTATTTGAGTTATTCAGAAAATTGACTTTGTTCTAACCAACAATTTTAAACACATTGTGTTCACTGGTGAAGGTACTTAACATAAAATACAATATTTCAAAATTTTATCTCAAAAAGAGTGGAAGCTCTCTACATTGTTCGGAAATCCACAGAAATAGAATATAAAACAAAAACACTCAAATTTATCTACTTTCAGTAGTGTCCTAATAAGATGAATTACAACTCATTTTGATAAAAATATACAGAATTCAGGCTTTCCATAAACCACCATAACTCTTTAAAATCCTATAGTTCGAAAAAATGAAAAGATGTCTTTTTAGATCTCCTTGGAATTGCGTCTACAGGTTACGTCCTGTTGATTGTGTTCCTTTCTATATTAGGTAGTCTTCTCGCTAAATCTAGAATCGTGCAAAGGAACACTTGAGCTAATAAAAAGACATCTTAATCATCCTGTAGAACTGAAGAACCTATAAATTAAATTGAAAATAGTAGTTCATGTTATTTTTAACAATCATCAAATGAACATTAAAAATGTCAAAATAATTGAGGAATCTTTTAAACAGTTATAAAGGAAGGCGTTTAGTTTAGGCGTATTATTCCTCTGCCTTCAATAGGAATGGAAAGTCTGACTATCCATCTAACATGAGTCGTTTATCCAAATAACAGCATTCTGATTCCATAAATTTCTCACATCATTAATACACATACACATACTTCAACTTTTCTTCACATTGCAAATTTCGTACTTTGCACATTCACTAGTATTTGTACAATTATGCACAGTGATATCGTCATACAAAATAATCGCTTTATTCAAAAGTGACATTATATTGACATAATCAAGATTTATTTTTACATTTCGATTGAAATAAATATCCTGTCTAATTCTTTTTATACCATTTAACCGTGTGTTAATTTAGCAACAGTTATCTACTTATTTAGTCTCTGAAGAAGCAACCTAACCTTAGTTGTGAAACATCAGGAATTCTGATTTCTACCAATTGACATATTATCAGTATGGGGATTTTTGGAGATGGTAGTATTTTTTAAATTCAAATTCACGAGTCGATCTGAACTAGACCACCATAGAAAACCTGGAAGCACTGGATAATCATTTCATCCTGGTATGGGATTCCTCAACAGTGCGCATCCACGTCCCGCATGCGGGATCATTAACTTATCACAAATATATTTCATTATTTTGAAAAGTGTTAATATGACATTATAATGTTCATTTATTTACCAAAATTTTTATTTCTAGTCGCTTAACCAATCTACATAATCGTTTAACTGTATTAAACCAATTACAAATTAATTTTATACAACATTGGAATTACAAGCCTTCCATTCATCGTTACCGTACTCAAAGTTTATGCTCTAATACAGCTTTAAAATGTCCTACGGTAAAGATAAAAATTCATAAACGATCCAATTCATCATCATCATTAATAACAAGTTTCCATCCTACAGACATTATTACAGATCATCCAATCAGTTTAACATATTTTTTAGGGAAGAATGATCTGTCACTGAATTGTTCGTCAAGTTTCTTCAAGAATAGGAAATTGATTAGAAACAATGATGCACTAATTACTGACATAATTTGTAATTTCAAGCATTCGAGGAATTCCATACAATCACCATGCACTGAATCAACTTCATCTACTTTATGTTATTCACAAAATGAAGAAAATAACTCAAATTTGGAAGAAATAAGCACACAAATTATCAAAGAAACATTACCGGAAGTTATCGATTCAAAGAATAATTCACCTGATAAAATCATGTCATTCGTAAGTATTTGTTTGTGTGTTTGGTCTGTACTGCTTTCGAGTTCAGAGGTGAATATCAAATCTGAGATGCAGGTGTATCCAGCTGACCAATCCCAAATAGGAATAAACGCACATCTCTAAATCCATTGTTTGCCCCCATCCATTATTCTTTAAAAATAATATTCATGAGTATATATTTCATGTGTTAAAATGGATTGTTTTCTGTTTAAATTTTATTTCACTGAATTTATCTTGTCTGGGGATTTATTGATATCAACGTTCTTGACAGGATTAGATGTATATAAAGTTTTCTGACCGACGGGTCATACCTTGCCAAGATGAGTATTACTAATGATACAAAATGTAAAATAATTGAGTTCCTGTACTGGGTTTCTATAGATCAACTTCCATTTTTATTCAAATGTGTACTGTTAATAAATGTTCAATAATTAAGAAACTGAGTTTAAAGGCTTTATCCATACAACAATAATTTCTCTCTGAATATTCATTTTGTAGAATAATGTCGACGTCATTAGATTGAAAAGATATTCATATGATTGATTTCAAAAATCTCTTAGAAATCAAAATATATCCAAAATCACTTTAGGGCAATCAGCGATCTGCAAAAATTCTTACTAATTCTAGAAGTCAATCGAATATACTGTACTGTTATTCTACTAGTTTGTCAAGTATCGAAAATTGTTATGAATCTTGACATTTCTCTCAGAAGTTTCTAAAAATCCATAGTCACTAATAACTTCCTTTATTTTCTGTAGTTAATCTACCCTTGGAACTTCTTGATAACTTTCGTCCACATTTAAAATGTCGAAGATTTCAAATGTTTGGGGATTCAGTGTATGAGACTTATCATTTTATGGTAGATGTAAAGTTTATTTTAGTTACAGTATGACTGGTTTTAAATTTTTCATCATTTTGAATATGTTTTACATATTTCAAGTTATTCACTGAACGATTCTTCATTAATATTCCTATTTGATATGTTGATTTATTCCATATTCGTTTTTGTAGCCTACATCAATCAGTTTTGACGAGGATTTCAATCTTACACATGATAATGGTCATGTTATAAAAGATTGGACAACTAAGAAGGAAAAATTGATAGAGAATTTTTCAAGTTTTATTCAGGAATATGAGTAAGACAGTAAAAATATAACTTTCAAATTTTACATGAATTGTAGGAATTTATTAATACGATACTTATCAACAGTAATCAGTGATGATTTACATCAGAAACTCAGATCATTATCATTTGATACTTCAAATAAATATGTCTTTTCTGAGTTATTCTGTCAAAGGTTGCAATCAAAACAGATTGTGTTTTGTATACAAATTAGTTGCCGTATGATAACATATCTTTATCAAAGATATTTGAGTTAATTAGTAGTGTAGTTACGGCGATGAGAGATAATGACACCATGATGAGCTTTATTTTGGTACGAAACTGTTGATCATATAATGAGTATACCAGGCAAAAAATCTACTCTTGTTCTACTAATTCTGAAAGATATGCATAAATTAAAGATAATTGTCCATATCCGTTACTAAAGCATTGCTCGCGTTTAGTTGAACTGTCGGTTTAAATGATGTTGATGTTAGATACAAAATCCTAAGTAGAATGGATAGGTGGACGAAATAGTAAGCCTTCCACAGTGAATGCGAATGATGTATTTCATGTCTTTTAAATCACCGTGTCTGACACACGCGACTCTTTCTACAATACAACTAGATTCGAATAAAAGAGCAGTGTTGATAGTAATTTAAGTAGTCATTTATTATTGTTCTAGTATGTAGACGGAATTGAAAAAGAGATCCTGAATGAAGATCGTTTAAGACAATAAAAATCAACCATAAGCTGGTGTTCTTGATCAGGTGCACTTCGTAATACCTTCCTCTCTAATTGTATGGCTAAGAAATGAAGCAAATTGAATTAGTACGTCATTTTATTTCAAAGACCTCCAAATTGGTATTCTTGTTTCATAAATCCATTCAGGGATGCAATTTTATGAATAAACAAAAATATAGTCAACATGAATCAAATTTTTTACTAGTGGATATATGATAATTGGAAGTTTAAGTTGACTATTGGAACACTAGTAAACTGTTGGCGGAATCACATTTTTATTTTTAAGCGATTTTATCAAAAAAGAGTCGTGCTCGAATACCAATCGGTAGTGATTTAGCGTTCACTCGCAAAACCGAGAGTCCTTGGTTTGGTCCCATCTAGCAGGGTCGTGGATTTCCACTGCCAAGGAGTTTCACGTAAGGACGAAACGGGTATTGAGTGCTTTCAAGTTTCTAGTGGTTATTTAATATAGGCTGGTTAGTGGTTGTGATAAATGCCAACAATCTCCACAACTCACGTATTGAATTATATAATACACTGTTAACTTTAAATGAATAATATGCGTTTGTATCTGAACTTTTGATACTAAATATGATTATTTTTAATTTCAAAGCAACTTATTGTTTCATTTCGCTTTCTTCCCACAGGGTTTGTAGTAAAAACAATACACCTATTCAAACTGAGAACAGGTTGGAGGATAGATGTACTAAACAGTTCCACTCTGACGATCACTATTTCGGTTCAATGAAAGAAACTTCGCATAAGGGAAATTCGTATGCTTCCGTTCCATCATATTTGCACATATCCAATGATAATGATGCTTCATCATTATCCTCATGTAGTACAGAAAAAGGTGCCAACTTTATGTTGAATGGCTGTTCACTGCATAGATTGCTTTCAAAGTCGTATAACGTGAGTAATAGTTTTCTTTTACTATTCATAGAAATGTATTACTATTCATGAACTAAATTGTACTTAAAAATATTTTGTAAACTGTCCACGGATGGTAGTTTTTATGCCTATATATCAAGGGGCACCACTTTGTCATTTTTTTCTAACTGGAAGATCTCAACATCTCAACGCCTGAGTTACGACATCAAAACTCGATCTTCATCTACCTTGATTCAAATAATAATCAGCTAAAAATATATAACTTAGGACAGACTAAATAAATCCTGTACTTAGTAACTAGATTATATTGTTTTTCTTTCGAAATCGAAATCACAAAGATACATTTTGTGAAGATATTCCCCATTAGTATCGTTTTATTTTCAACAAGATGCTTGATTTCAAAATTATCATGGTAAGAATAATAACACTGATTTGTTTAGTCTTCATCCTAGTGTTTTTTTATTATTTATTATATTCTGAAATCCTAGTGGCTGGTATGCTACCTTATCTTGTTATTATTATTAATAGTAGTAGATTAGTAGTATCGACTAATTTTCTCATTGATCCAATTTATCAATGTTTCCTCTCCGTTTTTTTTTCTGTTTTTTTTCCTCCAATAACAACTTTAAACAATTTTAGAATTTACTACAAATTACCAAGAGATTTCAATCAAGTTTAATCAATTTTAACAAAACCAATCTTACAGTATTAAACAATATCAATTTAGATAATGTGTTGAATATCGATCAAAATATCTTTGATGATGAAACTCAGTTATCTATCTTGAATCCACTTCATTCTCCACTGGTAATCTATTTAGATCGTATGCTGAACTACTTCAATACTACATCTGATAAAAATGATTTAACTATTGAACAAAATGAATTAATATTTATAGAACATAATCTAACCAATATGTGGAAATATTTTAACGAAATAATTTTAAATATGAAAATAAATAGTAAACAGTTTAACTTAGCTGATGATTTCATGAAATTGGTGGATAATGTAAGTTTGTTGACTTTTATATTCAATTATTGTATTTCATAGTAATAGTAACTTCATAACTTCTTATGAAACTGATTGATAGCAGTCTCTATTCTTTTGTTTGGTACTTGAACGCTCAATGCTGACTTCCTAAACTCTTACTAGTTTCCGAGAAATCTCTCACATTTGAAAAGTTTATGGAACGTTTACATTGAATGCTGACTGAAAGAGGTATTTTCAACCATTTTCCAGCTTCTTAGGAATTCTCAAGGGTTCCCAAAAGTTTGTTTAAATGTTTTATCACTCTGGTTTCCCAACTCTAGGTTTACCTGTTTTGAGTTTATTTTAACTAAATAGTTATGATTGCGAACTATATATACTCACGCGCACGGTGCGGAACAGTTTAAAGCATTAAACGGAAACATCAGTCTCTGTTGAAAAATTAGATGTTCTATTGAGACGTAATATTTTAGTGGATAGTACGTTGGACGTTTGAAACGAAAGGTGTAGAGTTTGAGTCTCAATGTGAGTATAGATGTTGTGCTGAAGATGTGTCCATCCAACGAGTCCCGAACAGGACGAAACGCGCATCTTGCTAACCACATATCAAGTGCACTGAAATAATAATAGTTTTATTAAATAACATATATATAATTACAGCAAATAATTCACAACATAAAGTTTTAAATACTGTTATAAGTCCCTGTTGAGTCGGCTTTCGGAGAACTTCAACGTAGCCTCCAGAGTCCCAAAAGGAGCCGAAGAGTCCCAGCCAATCAGAGCATAATGGAGCATTCTAGAATTCCAACGTGGCGTGCTACTATTGCTCAGTAGCATAATATGTCCTCAACGGATTGGCCGAAATATGATGCTGATTTAACAAACGTTAACATCTATGAATGCCCATGTTTTCTGTACAAAAACGAACCTTGGAGTAAAGTATGTCTCTCATACTTTGCGCCTTCTCTCTGGTGTTCAGGTCACTGTGTAGTTCTAGCTTGCGGCCTACCAGAATAGCTTAGGAAACGAATATAGCGTTCAATCGACAGGACTTATTATCCATTTAACTACTGAATATTAAAAGTTATATATATATATATATATATATATATATATATATATATATATATATATATATAGTTTTTCAACAGTGTGTGGTAATATACCATTCATCTTCATCCAACAACGTTCTTGACTAGTTTTATTCCAATGATAGTTTATTTCTTCATACAATATTTATTTGATTCATGGGTTGATCCTAATGTAAACGTTATTCAATAGTTGGATTTATGAGTACTGGACGGCCGTTTCGTTTTAGTATGAGACTCCCTAGCAGTCCAATGCTTCCAGGTTTTCCATGATGGTCTAGCTCTAATCAACCTATAGATTCAACTATTAAATTACTACAATGAAATTATTGCAATCCCCTTATCTGATAAATGTTATTTGTTTGTTTAAACAACAGACTATAGGGGAAAAGTAGCAATTACTGTAATGGTGATTCCTTCCGAATTTTTTCAGTAAGTAGCCTAGCGATAGGTTTCAAGCCTCTTGAAGACATATGGTTGCCATCTATAATTAAGGAGTTAAAAGAAACGTAAAACGAAAATTTTCATCATATAACTGCAAAATGATAAATAGCCCTGACGTTTGAGCAAGTTTCTATTACTAATAACGTTCGATCACGACAACGCTGTGTTGCGAATCGATTATAATCGGTTAATGTAAACTATTAGATGTCAGCCAACGCCCATCAAGAGAGAGAAAGAGAGAGTTGAAAGTCATATGTCTGATATTTGGCGGGATCTTTGATGCATATTTTTGAGGGGCCCATTAACAGGATAAAATGCTTGCGAAGTGTCATCTTGTCTTCAACGATGTGCCCCAGTTGACATTGATTCATGATGAAACCTTTCCTTACTTATGAGCTAATCTCTTCAATCCACCTTATTAGATTATTGTCATCAGTTTTGTATTTGTTTCTCGTTTAAAGGCTCCATGGAAATACTTAGATTTTCTAGTTTACACCGCCAACTGATCCTAGCTATACAACCCTTGAAAACTAGAAAACACTAAAGAGCTGTTTCATTCTAGTATTAGACTCAACAGTGCACATCCACGACCTTCATGTCTCTTAGCAAATGCTTAACCTTCAAATCATTGAGTTAAGATTAAATAGTTTACACTTCCAACTCCAATCGATTCGTGATATTGTATAATCATTTTTCAGTACCATTAATATCCGATACTTTCTTATTTTCACTTGTCATTTAACTAAAGTATCTTTTCTTTTTTTTGTGATAAAACACTCCAATTGTTTCATTTCCTTTACTCTTTTTTTTTAATTATAGAACATGGTAACCATTTATTTCGAAAATACCTCTTCTGATTTATTTGATCAATTAATCATATTGACTAATGAAATTCATTCATCAATTAGAGATTTAAATAAACATTTGTTAAAATTATCCTCTTTTGAGCATGAACCATTTCCATTACCAAATTTATGGTGTACTTTATTTAAAACAACAGATTTATTATGCATAGAAATGATTTATTCACGTATTTTGATACTTATTTTCTACTATGCCTATAAATCATTGTTATTTATTTATGACATATTAAGTGTGTATAGTGTTAGTCGAATAAAGAATACATTTAAAAGGAATTCGAGTAATAACTTCATGGATACTTCAAATAACAATTATCTGGTAAGATTTTTATTATTGTATGATTTAAATATGTTTACTTATTAACTGTAATTTAATATATTATTTATAATATAGAGAAGTTAAGCAAATCTACAAAGGGTTGCACAAGATCATGGATCGATTGAAGTTATACATTAACGCCGTTGGATACCAGCTCACTGGTCTAGATTTTAAGCGTTCACGCACGTGACTTAATCTCCTGGGTTGTGACTTAGGGTAATATCAAGGCGATCCGCACAGGATGCATATATGCCAACAAGAGACTGATTAATTGCAATTTTTAACAACAATGGGAAGATACAAACAATACTAAGTGAATTTAACATTAGATTTATGGATACACACAAAGACTGATGCTCAATTACTATTCCTGAAATAATTAGCCTTATCTGAATTTGATAATATTCATTTAAGTAATAAACTGTAGATAACTAGTGAGACAGTTGTTATTTATTCATCTTATCCAATTTAAAATCTTACAGTTCATCATCCCTATCAATAGAATAATTCTAAGAGTTTTTGATTGAGATCATGAACCGATTGATGTTAGACCACCGTTGGAAACATGTAAGCACTGAACGGCCGTTTTGTCCTATTGTGGGAAAAATGGACAGAGATTATGTATGTAGTTGTGTTATCACGGTAGTTAGAAATGCAGTCGAGCCTGCCAGGATTCGAACCTGGAATCTCCTGATCCTTAGTCCCACAATAGGACGAAATGGCCGTCCAGTGCTTCCAAGTTTCCAACGATGGTCTAACATCAATCGGTTCATGATCTCAATCAAAGCACTTAATAATCTCCACAACCCCTATACTGATAATTCTAAGAGTATTTAAAGATATGGAACTACAAGCCATGGATGGTAATATTCATTAAATAATTATTCTTTTGAAATATAATTTAATTATCTTTTTTTTTATTTTGTCTTAAATAGATAATTTTATTAAATGAATTCAGTTACTTACAATATATTTTAAATCAAATAAATCCATCTAATTTTTATCATTCAATCAACCAACAATCTAATGAATTTTTAATACAATTTACTACAATTTATTTATTAAATAAATATAATTCTGATCAATATTCAATAAATTTGTTTAATCTATTAAATTCATTTATTGATTGTTTTAATCAATCAATTAATTTTCCATTAAATATCATTAAAACAATACAAAGTAATGTCAAATCAAATGATCCCGTTCATGATAATAATGATGATGATGATGTCATAATGTCGAATAATACATTGAAAAATCTAATCATCATGGGTTCATCTAGCTGTGTGAAAACATCAATAACTATGAATTCATTAAAAACTGTACACATTTTCAAATATTTATTCATTGTCATTGAATTGTTAGTTAATATACCAGTATTAACAATGAAAGAATTAGAAAATAGATATAATAAGAATTTGGTAAGTTGAATTAGATTTCATTCAATGTTGTTGTCTTCGCCATGGATGAAGTGTTGCTCAGGATCATGAATTGATTAAAGTTAGACATTAACACCTTTGGATCCCGGCTCAGTGGCCTAGAGGAAAAGGCAGAAGGTCCCATGTCCGAGTTTTTTTTGATGCGGGATTGTGGATGCGCACTGCTAAAAAAGTCTCATACTCACATCGGTACATCCAGATAAAGTTATTAAGATAAATACCTGAATTGTCTAAATACTAACAATATCAGTGGTTTTCATAGTAGGAAAGTTTAGATATAGACAATATGATTCGGGTAGAAAGAATTAAATCTTCGAATAAATGTTCTGAGGCAAAGTATCTGTGTCATTAGAACCGATTGTAAAACACATTGTCCATCTCCAACCATTTGTATGTTGATTTTATAGACCTCAACCAGGTAGTCTGGCGCCAGCACAAACTCAACTTCGATCTCCAATGTTTTCTAATAAATTTATATTGTATTGATCAAACATTACATATAACGAGCATCAGCTAGCAAACGATGAGTTTTTTCCTTACAAATAGGTTTTAAAAACATAGTAAAGGTCATGACTAATATATATATATATAAGATAACTGTCCGCTTGATGAGCATGAAAAACGAGAAGAATAAACTCTAAAAAACATGAAGCTGATAGCAATAAATGACTTTGAAAAAAACATTAACAATAAGTTTTGATATTCCAAAAATGTTAAATGTAAGGGAATTTGTGCATGCTACTTTTACGCATATATTTCTAGTTTGAAATGATAAATAACTAACACTTCTATAATACACAAGTATTGATTTATTCTCACGTCGAATTCATTAGTTTGACTATGGGAGATATTTCTTCTGTTAACACTGTGATCAGAGTTGATGAAAGTTTTTAATATTGAACTATTAATGGTTTTACAATCTACTTTAAAATGCTACTCATGGCAATACTCCGCAATGCGTTCAAAGACTGCTTGCTTTGTATGATCAATGTAACCTGTACCACAAAAGCAGTTACAATTGTTGATACATAGTGATGTGACCCAAAGAAAGAATCAGTCTTTAACACATCTATAAGTCAACGGCCAGCTAACTAGGGGAAGATAATGAGAAGTTGAATGAAATAGAACGTTTATCTCAAAGATTTCGAAAGTTGGTTTGTCATACTTGTCCTGCGTTATTTTTAGACTTGATGCTCATGATGAGAGGTTTTTTTAAAAGCTGTACATGATTTTTCGGCTTGTATTTGACTGTTTCAAAATCTGTTCAGTTAGAATTTGTTAATCGGTTTTTTTGAGTAAATTTTTAGTTTGAATGACTTTAGTCACTGGTGCTATCAAAACATCGGCTTTATTGAATCAAATAAGATATATGATAAACAGTACCACGATCAAGTCTACATTCACGTTTGTTTGTTAGCTAAATATTTTTCTCAGCCTAACTCGGGGGTTTGTTGACTGATTTTAAAATTTCTTCAAACTCATAGTATCCTTTCATTTTTGGGAGTTAAGAAATTGTGGATACAACATGTCTTTAACCTTAATTATTGTTAAGTAAAGTTCCATGAATACGTTTGGTCAATTCATTACATAATTACAATCTATGCCCTACGTAATCATGTACTAAGGGCGTTTAATACTGAATATTTGAGGGAAATATTTAACGAATCAAAACTAGTACTACAATACTGCAAAGTTCAATCCATCACTAAAGAAACAAAAGGTTATTTCATTGAAATTAGGTGACACAATTAAATCAAGAGTAATCTTGGTTCAGGACTCAATGTTCAGAAATTTAGTTTACTTTCTGTAGACATTTCACAGGAATTATTATATTTTCATGTGAACTTTTACTGAAATTGACTCTTAGATAAATGTCGACGAGTAACCACAAAGGATGTCCCAGCTTAAAAATGGTAAAATTATACGAATGTTCACAACGAAAGCCTCAAAACCAGTTATCAAGATGAAGTTATTTTAATGTGACTCATGGAACCCTTCTAATAGGTAAACGACTTGAAACTTATACCACCTTCTTGGTAAATCTGATTATGTTCACCATACATTACTATTTCGCTTCCTGACGGCGAGTCCACTCAAATTAATGATTGCTTTGGTGTGTATTCCGTCAATATTTCTGTACTTTAAAATGTTATCTTGGTCTAGTGAACTGTTGTATGTTTCATATTATATTATTTAAACAACTTCATTACCATTGTGTTCACTTAAAGGAAGTTTCCTCGCATAACATATGTTCGAATAATGTACTCTTGTTTTCTTTTTTAATGTTTTCTCTCTTTTTGCATCAACCCGACTATGTATGTAAGTTGGTGTGGATTCTGTTATAATTTTCAGAATCTCTTATTATTATCATCATCAGTTAAAGTTTACATTCTCTACCCTTGTGCTCATCTTACAACTCACCATTTTTTCTAAAATTTCATAGGCGTTATTTTCTCAGATTTATTCTATTTGTTATCGATTACATCTCCTGAACGAATCCAGCAACACTACGACAGAGGATAATCAACCACTACAGTATGAAGAATGTAAATCACGTATTCAACAACAACAACAACAAATAACAGATCTTATCACTCAAGGTTTAGATTTAAACCATAAATTAATGATATGGTCTGCAAACTGTCATAGTCTGCTAGACCGATGGAAACGATTAAGCACTCAAGTAGATTGGTTCAATGGTACGTTGTTCAGCATGAATTTTATTACTTTTTTCTCTTTTAATGTGAATCTACTTCAAATCTAATAAATTTTCAATATGTATAAGTTTTGTTTGATTAAAAATATTGAACGGGTTTTCCTTTATTAGTGTTGTATTTAATAGTACCTATACGTTCATGCCATACTACTTAACACTACCAGGTTGCTCAAAATGATTTAGTTTGGTCGTACAACTTCGCGGTTAACAGTTAAAAACCATAACCAACTGCGGTAAAACTCGATTGGTTGTAATCATTTTTCAAATCTTCTATTAAAGATAAAAATTTGGATTAAAGCGATTTTAGGATTTAGTAATTAAATGGATGTTTAGATTTTTATTTCAATGATTATTTCGTGCATTAATTAATAAATTGAATCTCCAAGAACATAGCGAAAGTTTCATGAGTTTTTCGTCAAGATATGAATGTCCAGCTTATCATTGTTACTGATTCAATGATTTATACACCTTACAGATCCAGATTTAGGGATTATTATTATTATTATTATTATTATTATTATTATTATTATTGTTATTATTATTATTATTATTATTATTATTATTATTATAAATGACTAACTTCTAAATTATCAGTATGAAAGTTTTCATTAGCGATCTAATTAAGATATTAGCAAGTGGTGTAACCGATAAAAATTTAATAATCTCTACAATACTCCTATGCTTATAATAATCCATTAGCTTAGTGACTAATTTTTGGAAGCGATTCCAAGAGTTCTTGTGAGAAGGCAAGACTAGTGATGTTCAACCATGTTAAGTGTAATACAATTATACACTGCAAGCAATAGATTATGGTAGAATAATATAAATTGATTGAAGTTATGATTTTAGAAAACACAATAAGAAATTATGTATGAAGGGATACTGGGATACAAGATCTAAAGGAAGATAATAAAATGAACTTATCTGTGTCACCGCAGCCAATTCCGAATCATTTGATACAATATCTCTAACTATTGGTCGCAGTTTCTATTTAGATCTTAAATCAATAGTATCCGCTTATCAGTCAAGGTTATAAAAAAGAAAATCCTTTTATACTATTTTATAACTCTGTTTAATTAGTTAATTGTTTATTTTATCTTCTCTAAATTTCAACATACTACTGAATAAAGTGCATATACAAAACTTATGGAATCGATTACCTGAAACACCAATGCCAAATCCACCTCAATTCAAGTTGGATTACCTACTATTAGAGACTAATAAAAAGAATCAGTTTATTAATGATATAAAATTTATATCACCAATTCAAGTATCGTACAATATTTTAATTTCTGCAAATTCTCGAGATGCATTATTATACTATAAAAGTTGGATAGAAAACATTTTTAAATCTTTTAAAAGTTTAATACCTATTTGTGAGGCTATTTTGTGTGAAGGTCACTCATTGACTAATGAATTACTTCATATAAATACAATGAATAGTCATGAAAATGTTGTAGATATTATCGAAAGTGTTCAGAAGACGTCATCATCTTCGGAATCTTTCAATCATAATGATAAAAATAATGATAATAATAATACATTTTGGAATAAAGAGTTTAAAATATTTTGGGATTTAGTAATTGAATGGTTGTTCAATTTACTGGTTGAATTCAATCAACAAATTTTCTATATTCAATTATTAGAAAATTGTATAAATGATTTAACATTATGGATTAGATCAAAAAAGAATCAACTTGATCATACTATGAAACAATATAAAATTCAAATGAAACAATATCCAAATGATTTATATCGAAATATCAAAAGATTCAATGAAATTGATTTCATCATTAGTGATTTATATGTAAATGAGAAAATGATTCAATTAAACAATTTAAAATTGTACATTGATCAATTGAACAAGAATCCATTACATTGTCAAAATTATTTATTTTATTCCCGTCTTATGAATTCAAGTCAATGGATTATTAAAGTTTATAATGATTGTCTTTTATATTATAAACAAATTCTAGATCATTATCAACAAATTATTCTAAGAAATATTCTACAGTTGTCTATTAATAATGAAAACTATTCAACCATTTTCAATGTTCTATACTACTACCATTCTCAAGATTGGTTCAATTTAATCATGAAAAGATTCTCTGATCATGATTTAAAATTTATTCAATTGAATGGAATCTCTAATACGATCCTTTATGATATAACTCAAAATCTATATCGTCAATTAGAAATTCGTTTACCTATTCTCTTAGAATTATACAATTTAGAACAACAATTATGGAAACATTATAAAGATTGTGATGATGATAATAATAATAATACAATAATTTCTTATTCAGAACAAATCATTCAATGCAAGAAACACATGGAAACATTGAAACAAGTTCAAATCAATTTGTTAACTGATCTTAATGAATATGAACAATTAAATTTGTGTTTTAATCAATTATTCATTGAAATTGAAGTGTTCAATATAAAATATCCTGATATGACGATATATACAGATGTAGATAAGAATTTTTTCTCAAAGTATATTTTTATTGAACTATTGAATGTGAAAAAGGTGAGTAATAAATTAAATTCGAATTTGTAGATTATATTTTATAATAGATTGACCTTAGTTGATGAAGTACCATTGGAAATTAGAAAGCACTAAACAGGTCTTTTGTTCTATCTAATATTAAAATCCTCAACAGTCTAAATTCATAACCGTTCCAGGGATAGATTTTAAAAGAAAAAGTCTCAAGATTAATCTTCCAGTGAGATTGATCACTTCAATTTGATTAACTATGTTGTAATTGCTTCCAAATAACTTATTCAAGTTCAACTTACATGTAATTGATTTATAAAACTATCTATTATTATGAGGCTAAGAACAAATAAAATTCGTTGGATAGATAATTAGGGAAACATCTTTGATCTTAAATACGTTTTTATCGATCTGTGTAATGAAAATGAAAATGTTTAATTCATTTGGTCACGGCTAGTGACGCCCTTCAGTTTTTTTAAAAATTACAGGAGTTAAAACGAAGTTGCTATTTCTGAGCCATCAGTTTGAAGTTGATTTCTGTAAGTACGATCTCAGTTTATCATACAAACTAATCTCATTTATGTGTTCGATTCAAAAGGGTAGTAAGAACCAATAAATACATTAATACTCATCTTGTAAGCCTCTTTTAAATATTGGATCATAGGTATTCTAAAACTACTGATCTCAAATAGAAAAATAAAAACCAGGTGAGCAATAATAAGTTTAAGTATAAAGTACTATGCATATATGGAAAATCCGTTAATGAGGTTGAATTTAATCCTACTTTGACCTGTGATATGAATTGCGGTAGGAATAGGTTAGAATGGTACTTAGATTTGAACAAACCAAGAAATGGCATCAGTTCATGAAGTTTATTCATTGTTAGACTAAGCCATGTTGGTAGATCCAAACTATCTAGTTGAGGTTCATGAACCAAAATTTATGGTTTGACTTCTTTATCATTCACTTTTTTAAATTTCACATTTCTCTGCTGATGTGACATGACAATGTGTTTTGACACATATTTCTCACATGCTCTATGTATTATTTATGATTCGATTTTCTACTGTCCTTTTTAGTTGATAATCTTATATATTAGTATAGTACTAATAATATGATCAATTTTTATCCTAGGATTTGAATAGATTAATTTCTATTTCTAAGTCGATTCACATACATCAACTTCAGACAATATATGATATCGCTAAACCATTATCTATCCTTGCCACTGATGTCTACCTCATTCTTAACATGGCTTAGTAGAGGGATCGGCTCCATATCTACTAGACTCTACTTTCATCTACTAGGGGCCACGTTCGGACTCCCTCCATCTACTTTGACTTGCACAGCTAGGCTGTATCACTACATGTCACGCTTGGAGTATAGCTCAAAGCCAAGAAAATAAATCCGTGCCTGATAAATGAGTTATTCTACTCTTTTCCAACATCATTGAATTTTATTAGTCATTGTTATTCACCAGGAATTTTATTGATAAGGTTTTCTTTTTGAAGTTATTCATTTGTAAATGACTTGAAAGTTACATTTATTTTTAGAAAATGTTAACCCAAAGCCGTCAATCAGAAGCAGCGAGTTATCAATCGGACCAAGGACGCGTAAAACACGTGCGAGCAGCCTAGAGTCCTGATTGGTCTTGCTTTCCGCCTAGTCCAGCCAGTTAAGTCCAGAACAACAGTCTCAGCTTCTGCAATATGAATCATTATATTTCAAACATACTGAGTTTATATACCAATCAAAAAGACCACAACGTACCAATAAAATATGCAAAAACATTTGTACAAGAATTAGCCAGATATGGCTGTGAATGAGGGAGGTAATAATTAATATACTGGGTATAACTCAAGAATGGTAAAAAGTATAATAATAGTTTATGGGTCTACATAAAGCTTATAATAAGAGGAATATGAATATGCATAGTTTAGTTACTCAATAATTATACAATAGAAATATACGTTTAGTATTGGTCCGTAAATAGATCCCAAAAGTTACCATTCATTATTCTTGTCGGGACATAACAGTTTGCGTCATAGATTCTCAAAAATGTTCATCATAAATAGAATTTGTCATCCATGCCAAAACTAATCATAAAATTTTAAGTATTTCTCATATATACATGTTTCTCACTCTCTCCCTCTATCTCTCTCTCGATTAGACCAATGAAAATTTAAGAAAACATTTTAATTTACGTTTAATATCATTAAGAAATAAAACTGAACAATTTATATCCAATTCAAAATTAACACAAATGAATACATTGAAATTAATCATTGACCTTCATAAAATTCCCATGAATCAAATCAATCAATATTTATTTAAAAATGAAACACTGAATACCCTATTAGAAAAATTAAATTTTATCAATGTTCAATTATATAACAATATTATTGAATATAATGATTCTGTTGAAAATGATCAATTATTGTTATCGAATAATAATAATAATAATAATAATAATAATAATAATAATAATAATAATAATAATAATAATAATAATAATAATAATAATAATAATAATAATAGTGATTGTTTAACATCAGTAGTCATTGAAAATTTAATTAAATTTTATCAATTTTCACATCAATTAATTCATTTATATGGACGAGTAAATTTTCTACAACAAATAAGTGAACAGTTTAATTTGATCAAAAATTTTCATGATTCTAAATCATTTTTCCATGATTATGATCATCATCATCAGTTGATCACATCCTTATTGTTAAATTTTCTGAATGAAATTCATGTATTAAAGAGATATTGGGTATATAATGAGAATAATGATAATGTTATGATTCAGACTGATCAGTCGACTTTTCAACAGTTTATTAATTATGGTCAAAGAATTTTGGATTTATGTCAATGTAATTTGAAATGTTTCATTTGTGAATATATTCAGGTAACTGTTTAGATTAATACAAATAAATAAAGATTGAATGAAGTATCTGTTGATAAGATAGATTTAAGTGTTATTTATTTTTAAATTTTCAAACGGAATATAGAACCAGGCGCATATATATATATATATATATATATATATATATATATATATATATATATATATATATATATATATATATATCGATCCAAGTTGATTTACCTCATCAGTACAGCGAGATGAAATCGTTAAGGTGGAATCCTCAGAGTGGAATAAAACATTCATAAAGAATTTAGAATCTTTAAATGTAAGAGAAGACAAAGAGTGAATGGATACACCTGAGCCATTGCAAACGATTTTGAACCATATCACTTAAAGTTTGTTACGATTGGTTAAGATAATCATACCTAACTAAATGGCTCAACCCAATAGTCAGCATCTTCATGAACTGATGTCATGTTTTGGTTAAGTCGCCCCTATTGTTCTCCCAACGTACTATCTCAGTTATCTTAGCGCATAAAGGTAATCGGTGAATAGGCATATGTACTAAATTTCCTAACCGTCTCAATCAAAAAAGAAATTCACTACCTCGTCAATTGATTTGCCACACTTACCTAGTACTCTACATCTAACCTCAGAATTGCTGACTAGATGGTTCTAAAACATGCAAGGTATGGTTTAAAGTCATCTATGATCAACTACTAGTGACCTACGAATATCCTCTATTTTTAAACGCCATGTTTCATAACGACGAAGTATAATAAACCGAACTCTTGAGCAGTAAACTCGCCCTTTAGTTGATAGGGAGATGGATATCTCGTTTACGCCACAACCAACATAAGCTGAGAAAAGTCAACTAGGCTTTCTGAATTCGTGAACATAAGTCTTAGTACAACACAGAATCTTCATGTTTTACGATGGGCGTATTCGTGTTACACCAAAAAATACAGGCTTCGTATTTACAATTCACTGCAAACTAGGTAACATCCTGAAATCAATAGCAGCCTTACAGATCTATTTATAACTCCTAGGTTTCAAGATAAATTTTACGTACTGGAATATCATTTGTTCCTTTTGAGCTCAACTATTTCCGTTTACTTCTCATCATCATTTTGAGAGTCATTTCAAATATTCCACTGTTTATTTGATTAATCATCTCTTTTTGTGTTGTTTTAGAATGTTGGCAACATAGATCATTACATCATTTGTAATTAACTGTTTAAAATACAAGTGGAACAAAATATATAAGTGAATAATATTGTTGTCAATTAAATCGTCATGAGTCTTTACTCTGATGTACAAGAATATTTGTATGAAAACACTAAACTAATCAGGCCAGTTCATGAGTCGCTTGTCACAATGGAATAGAATTATATAACTACACATAATAGGTAAAAAGTACAAAGTGATAATAAGAAGACAGGTGTACTAGTAGTGATAAAAATAATAAAATAAAAGAGTTCTAGTCAATAGTTCAACATAGAAAGTAGCTCAAACTTTTGTAAATAGACTTCACATTAATCATCACAGTACATTAATATAATTACGTAATAAGAAGTGTATAGGAGATGGTATCAATCCCCTATGTCAAACAACGAAAGTATACGGTGATTACAAGTATGCCATTTATAATTTTCTTCAAAATATCATCAGTGCAACAAAAAAGCACTTCGTAACCTCATCAAAACTCATAGCATACGGAACTACAGTTGTCATCATACTATATATCACATACAACGTTGTTGGTCTTCTCCGGTTATTTCGTTTTCACATTAATTTACTGTACAGACGTCAACTACTTATGAGTAGTTTAATGTTTATTAAAATAATTGTGTCTTGCGTTTTATAGCACGATCAATTCTTTTTTTTCAGTTATCCACCAAGTCATTACTAACGGAATTTACTACAGTTCGTCTTACTGTAGTAGAAAGACTGGAACAGCTTCATTCCAATCTTCAATTTCATATCGATCAGTTCGGAAAGTCTCAGACACTTTACGCGAGTAATATGCATCAATTAAAACAATCCAAAGATATATGTGAGGCAAATATTAAAGAGTTGTTAATTGATAATCATTGCATATGTAGTTCACATCTACATAGTAATATTGTTGGGAATACCAACCTTAACCTTGATAATCCTGTTTTTGATCACATACCGCCTAGTTTATCTTTGATTAATCTAGCTAAATCTGCTTATCAACATACTTTATTGTCTAATGTAAAAGAGTTTTCTACTAAATTGATTAAAGAATCAGCATCTTCATTGAATGAAGAAATTTCCAATTTGATTCAATTAACAAACTTATATTTATGTCGAATAAAACATGAACGTATACATTGGATAAATTCAATAGAATATTTACAATCAATTCAATTGTATCCAACTGGTGTATTATCATCGAATGAAAACGAATTGGAACTTTGTAATTCTCAAACTGACAATATCATGAATTTAGTGGAAACAATTAAAAATACTATTTCAATTAATTTATTTAATGGTGGCATTCACAATTTGTATAATTTATTATCATCTAAGTCAATAACGTTTAATGTAAAATTAGAATACTTCAATAACTTCATGAAACATTTCACTAATGATAACATGATCAACAAGAATGTGATGAACAGCAAAGATGATTGTTATAGTTGTGTAAATTCATATCTGTTACAAAGATTTAGTTTATTAGAACAAAATATTATCCGTTCAATCGAGAGTTTGTTTGTAACAACCAATGAACATCCATTCAAATTCAAATTAGATGATATTATCAAACAGTGTATCAGTGTGAATGTAAGTGTTGATAATTTTACTTAATGAAAGTCATTTTTCTGTTATATAATGTATGTCATTTTGTTATTTGGAAATTACTACTACGTTAATTGACCGACACACACCGCTTCACCCCCCAAATGCCCTGGTACGAACAAGGGTGGGGAGAGTTCGTTCTCTCTCTCTCTTAATGCTCTCATATGGCCACGCGCGCACAGCAACTACCATGGAAGTCCTACTCAATGCCTTTACGCGGCAGGGGTGTTGTTACGAAACTGAGAGGTCAAAAAGCGAATGTACAGCTTCTTAACCGGGTTGGTGGATACGGAGGATCTATCTGGAGAAGTTGGAAAACCGTGATTTACAACCAATGGTGCACAGGGGTTTCAGAATCCTAGGGAAACAAATGATATATGAACTTATTGATGGTAACTGGTTACTATAGGACTGTATGTCCTAAAGTTGCTCCACCACCTTTTGGATTAGACCTTTATACCAAAGGCTCGGGGCGTGGCCCCCTAAGAAAACAACTTTCTCCAGTTTGAGCACCCGGGTAGCATCCCAGCCGTCATATGAATTGAACAATTTATGTGACGCATTTATATTTGTTGCCTCCTTGTACCAATATTTTTGTGTTTAAATTAATAAATAAAGTTTATTAACATAAATATCAATCATTAGATTATCACAGTTCTGATTGTTTTGTCTAGAACTCAAATTTTTTGAATTTGTTCTGGTAATTGACCATTTAGTTTATTTTACAGTAGATAGGAGACTTATACGTAATTGATCGATACTTGATTAACTATTCATCGTGTTGCCATTGTTTTGTGCGATGGCTAATGATACTACTATCCGGTTGCTAGAATCTAAGTAAGAAGAGCGGGTTTTGAATATTTTAAATTGTTGAGCCTTTACCCTGATCTTCACTAGATTATAAATTTGATTTTATCATAATTCATAATGAATTCCCAATATAAAATTGTAGAGCTATTTGGACACAGTCTATTAACGTGAAGTTGGGATTTCCCACTTTAATCTATTAAATTAATAATATTTTCTATGATATTCAGGTTTTTATTCAATGAAATCAAACTTTCTTAAATGAAACTTGATAATTTAGAATCAAAAACACTTCAAATTCAGTGATATACTCTATGCAGACGTCGTATATATATCAAACTTTTTCATCTGGTGTATCCTAATTCGATCAATTAACTGATCAGTTTGAAAGAGAATATATGAATCGATAGTGGAATAGAAACTGATCTTTCCAACTGTATTTTGTATATTTGTAGAATTACAAGAAAAAGAAAGGTGTGCATAATATTCAGTTGTATTTGATTATGTAAAGGTTTATGACGATTTTAAGTGTCTATGGATTGTTGAAGCTTTAAATACTGTCAATCAGAGTACAAATCTTGAGAAACTTTAGTCTGATTTCAATAAACACTAAAGATTAAATCTATTATAGTAAATCCACAAATGTGAAAAAAGCTATCAGTATCTAACGTCAGCCAACCATATATCGTGACCAGTTGCTGAGTAATAGCCAGCACCATGTTTGTCAAGTCTTGTTAGCTGTCTAAAATTTCATTGTAAGTGGTTTGACATCGTATATATCGTGTTTTGATGCTAATTGGGTTGAAGGCGATCAACAGAGATTATTAAACTTTGTTTTCATATCATTAAAGAATTAAACTAACTTGACCACATTTCCACTTAGTCGATAGAATTCTATCACCATTAAGGATTAGACAAACACTATATTGATTATTACTCAGTGACCAGTAAGCGTAAATACTTCAGTCCCAAACAAAATAGTTCGTAGTTTGAATAACTCAATAGTAAAATTTCCATGTGTATAACACAGGATGATGCTGGTCCAAATCTCACGATGTGTATCAGTTTCATCACGACTTCAGATACACATCGCTGACGAGTATCTACCAGCAAAAGATCTAAATCTAGTGCAACTTTTCACCTATTTTCTTCCATGTAACGTTGTATTGTATACATAAATACTTACCAAGATGATCACCTCTTACCGTTTACTCGACAATTAATAACAGTTTCCATTATTTATTTTTCTTTCTTCAATTATAGTCATGGTATAATGAATATATTCAATTAGAACCATTATTCATTTATGTTTCTACGTACTCATTCACTGTAAAAAGATCTCATCAGACAATCTGTAACCAAATTAACAATGCTGCTATTTTGCCAAACACTATTTTGACGAGTGATTGGCTTATTCTTGGTATTCGTTTACATCAGCTTAAATCAGTATTACATATCATTATGAATCAATGGATACATTTTGTATCTGTATGCAATAATATTAATGATTTGTTAAATAATATGGAATTATCAAATGTTATGAATCAAGTATATCCACAGAAATCCGGATTTTCATGTAAGGCTTTCCTAAATGTATTACTTATTAGTAGTATAAATTTGCATATTAATAAACTAAGTGTTTTCATTCTCAAGTTCTATTTGAGTCATATAAGAAGTTTGTGCACAAATTTTAATTGCTTATAATGGTTTGAAGACTGTGCAAATGAACAGTAAATTTCATTGATTTGCATCTCGTGATCACTGAGTGTAGAAAAATGTTCACAAGTACGCCTCGTAGAGGAGCATAGGTCGCCCACCAGTATTCCCCATCCAAATCTGTCCTGGGCAATCCTTTCCAGCTCCTTCCAGTTGTTATCCATCCTTTTCATATCTGCTTCTATTTCCCGACGTAATGTGTTCTTTTGCCTTCCTCTTTTCCGTTTTCTTTCAGGATTCCAAGTTAATGCTTACCTTGTAATTCAGTTTGGTGACTCACAATGTATGCCCTATCCACTTCCAATCTGTTTTCCTAATTTTCACTTCAGCAGGAAGCTCGTTTGTTGTCTCCCACAGTAGGCTGCTGCTGATTGTAACCGGTCAACAGACATTGAGTATCTTACGTAAAAAGCTGTTTTTAGATAGTTGTACCTTTTCGATGATGGTTGTGATAATTCTCGAAGTTTTAGCTCCATACGGTAGGACTGTCTTGACGTTTGTGTTGAAGATTCTAATTTTGATATTGATTGACGGACAGTTATTTTGAGTCCTATGTGTTATCCAACTGTATGAATGCTGCCCTTAGTTAGCCAATCCTTTCCTTTATGTTTATATCAGATCCTCCTTGTTCGTCGATGATGCTGCCCAGGAACCTGCAAGATTCTGCCTCTAACAGAGCTTCACCATCAGGTGTGCTCGCGTTGGTTCGCCGTGCTGTATTTCAGGATCATGGTTTTTCCTTTGTGTGTGTTGAGGCTTACTGCTGCAGTGACTGTGCTACAAGAGTTGTCTTCACCTTCATTTGTCACTGTGTATGAGATGTAAGAGTTAGTTGATCTGTAAAGTCCAAATCGTCTAGTTGAGTCCGCGCTGTCCTTTGTATTCCGTGCTTCCTCTCGTATGTAGAGACCTTCATAATCCAGTCAACCACCAGAAGAAAAAGAAAGGTAGAGAATAGGCAGCCCTGCGTGACCACGGTCCTTACTTCGAATGCACCTGTTCACTGTTCTACATGCACGACTTTGCCCTGTAGTTCGTCATATGAATTCCGGATGGTATTGACAATTTTCTCAGGTACACTGTAGTGTCGAACAAGTTTCCAAAATGTTCTCCTATTCACACTGTCAAACGCTTTCATAGAATCAAGTAATTTGTTATATAGTGACGAGTTCCATTGGATTGATTATTCGTAGTGTCGCGATTTGGTTTGTCTACGACCGATCCTTGTGGAATACGGTCTGTTGATCTCGAAGTTGTACGTCTACTGAATTTTTCACCCGGTTCAGCAACATTGTTAAAAACCTTTCCTGGGACCGATAGTAGTTTTGATAACTCCGTAGTTCCCACACTTTCTCAGACCTCCTTTCTTTGGTGTCTTGATGAGGTATCCTTCTTTCCAGTTTATTGGCACTTGTTCTTCCTCCCAAATCTTCCTGAATAGAATGTGGAGCATCTTTGTGGTTACTTCTATGTCTGACTTTAGTGCTTCAGCTGGTATATTGTCAGGTACTGCTACTTTCTCACTCACAAGTAGTCGTAAAATACTGAATAAATTGAAATAGGGTTTATTCTATCTTGACCATATTGGTTTTTGTGAAGTTATTTGTCTCTCGTATTTTTCATTTGTAGATATACACCAGTCTTTATGGTCTTTTAATTATCAAGAGGTGATAGACGAGTTGAAAAGACAACAAATATTATTCAACAGCCTATTTGTTAACGAAGAGAAAAACTGTTCACATGATGTTACCAATGGTTTGATGGAAACATTTCAAAATTCATCATCTTCATCATCTATCGTTCCTGATGAAGTGAATGATGGTATTATACATAATTGTTATATAACGAATGAGATATTTCTTCCATCTAGATCTCCAGTATTCTGTACAATATGTCATAGAAATCCTTTTATAGATAATAATATTAATAGTGTATCTTCCATGAATGTGTTAATCAATGAACAAGAAGAACGTCTCAAAGCTTTAAATAAATACAAAGTTGACGACAAAAAAAATACATTACATTTTGAACAAAATCAAATTTATTTAACTACATTACAACGTCGAATAGATATGATTTCAGAATGGATTATACATTTTATAGACGAAACAGTACTATCATCATCATTCAATGATGAACTCAAAGAAAATGCAGAAGTGGGTTTTTTAATGGATTTCAATTGAATGATTTTTCTTGCTTGTTAATTGATTAATTTCACTGAAAGGTATTAGGTTTGTTCTAATTCATTTAAAGTGAGTATAAAACAAACATCAGAATATGCAAACAGAAATCCGGAGTCTTGAGTTTGTGGATATTAATGTCGAAAATCAATGAACTGTAATCCAAAAAAAATTTTTAATGGTTCTGTTTCAATTATACATGGTTCTTTAACAATCTCAACAGTTGAGATCATGAGTCAATTGAAGCTAGACCACCATAGGAAACCTGGAAGCACTGAACGGCCGTTTAGCATTCCTTTAGACATTTTCCAAAGTTTATTGATTAAGATCAGTGTTTTTCCGTGCTGCTCACAGCGTTATTAATGAGTATGGAATTCGGAAGGTTTATTTCTTAGGTCGGTCAGAGGTGATAGATATTTCTCTGTGTGAACCATAATCGTCTCTAACTCTTAAGTGTAGACAAATCGGTGAGATAGTTTTAATTGATTATTGGACCTCATATTTGAACAACAAACAGAATTATATAGACTAATTTACATTTAATCCTACGGAATAAAGGAAGTTTACTCTTTACGTAAACGATTTAAAAGTAATTATTTTTAGAAACACAGCACTTCATATAGTGATACATTGTGAGATGGTGGAGAAGATTTGTAGCTCAGGTGGACGACGTTCAGAAGAACGATAAAAGCTCCACGACCAAACCATCCAGCTCAGAGAACAAAACACCACCAAAAGTGATACATTGTGCCAATCAAAAGATAAGAGCAAGTTATTGACAAAGATTCAGCTTTATTTCCTAGGAACTGAGACACATTTCACTGAGTGGAAATGTGACTTTATTTTCAAAAGCAAAGAGATATATATTTTTAAATAAGTGTACATATATTCTTGATTCTCTTTTAGTTAACAAGACTTCATCGTCACTCTTAATAATCTCCAGTACCTGGTTCGGTCTCAGGTATAGAATGGATACTTGTACATCAGTATTAGTATGGGAAACCTCATAACAAGGCAAATAGATTGTAGTTTTCGGTTTATAGTGGACAGTTTTCTCGAATAAAATGTTGAAGTCATTCTATCAATATCATTTTTAAGAGATTTTTTATTACGTTTTGTGTATTTATTGATCACAAATGAAGACAAAAAAGTTCTCAAGCCATACTTAACTTTCCTTTGTATTCTCTAACTGTTGGTGAATGCACTATTTCTCAAGAATTCAATTCAAATCAACCCACATAACTGCTTAAATCCTCATTCGAATAACTTTAAACTTCATCCATGCAGTTAAATATGACTACGAAATTCGTATATTCACTGGTTAACTCTCAAGGACACTCAAAAAAATTCCCATACACTTCCACCTTATACCATTGTCAGTTGAACTCCAAATAAAAAAACTTCTGCTTGATTGTACTCACTTTTTTTGGTGCTGCTTCAATAGTTACAAAGAGAGTATAGTGATAGTTTACCTGGAATTTATATTTCGGTATCCCAAGTTGTGTAAACTGAAGTGAATCATAGTACTAACTAATGATATCAATCTCTTATTATAATATGTTTTCTATTCATCTTTTCTTTTTTCTTAAAAAATTAAACCCAACTACTTTTTTTATAATAATTTCTTATCCTACTACTATTAATATGACTGTTATAGATGTATGTAGATCAATTAATAAAAATTGAAGAGTTACTTCAAATTTGTCACAGTGAATATGAAAATATTATTGTTTATTATGTTAATAATATCAATGTACAAATACAATTAGATTTATCAATACTACTTATAAATTGTCTACAAGTATATATTAATCAGTTAACACAAACGATTAAATATGAATGTGAAGAGATCTTAATATATATCAAGACAAATGTGGAATGTTTAATTGAACAAATGAAAATGATGTTATTAGTTAATGTTGATGATATTGTGTGTATACAAGATCCATGTCATCAAATTAATCAGAGGAGATGTACTTCATTGAACAATATTCAGGTAATTTAAAAAGAGATTTCACTGATTGAAATCATGAGTCAATTGAAGTTAGACCACCATGGAAAACCTGGAAGCACTGGACGGCCGTTTCATCCTAGTATGGGGCTTCTCAGCAGTGAGCGTCCACGATCCCTCATTGCGCACTGCTGAGGAGTTCCATACTAGGATGAAACGGCCGTCCAGTGCTTCCAGGTTTTCCATGGTGGTCTAGCTTCAATTGACTCATGATTTCAATAAGTGAAATTTCTAAAATCTCCACAAAACCCTTTCTGATAATTTAAAGAAATGTTTGTTATTGTGTTTCTTTATTGGTCCGCTAGTTCTGATGTTTTTCTTTTTATTAATCATATGAATAAACAATTGATTGATTGATCCAATTCTTCAATGTCTTGAATATTTGAAAATTTTTTAATGATACTCATTGTATGTAAATGGAATCCTGGTCTAATGATAAGAAGACTTGAGTTTGATTCTCTTATTTTCCAAAATCGATCTTTACACTGAGAAAGACTATCTATAAATGGTGATAATATACCTCATTTGCGTAATATTAATTTATGTAATTCTCCTTAAGTCATATTAGATGTAAGGGAAAAGGCATACTTACTACTTGAATGCTTAAACCAAAGTAGGTTAGATGAAGTCTGAACATAGGTCTTATTGGTTGAAACCCAAGTATTTTAATGAGCAAGTGCTCGGATGATCGTAAGATTTCTCAAGTTTTGTAAATAATGCTTAAATATTTTTTTAAAGCGATAACGTCAAGTGTTTTTTTTTAAAATTCAGTTGTTAGCATGATCTCTTCCTTTCTCTGATTGATTCTGATTGCTTTTAGTAAACTAAATTTCTGTATACTTGAAGATCATGTTTTCCTTACTGTATATATGGAGTTGTAACAGTTCGTTTCACAATGCTTGTTTTACCATTAATATCAAGTTTTCTTGCATTTCATCTGCCAGCGTTGGCCGTCAGGTGTTAACGTTTTGTGCACTGATTACCTTTAGCAATTACACTATAGCGCAAATCATATAGGAGTAGTTTAGTCATTCCTAACTCCACAAGTATTATAGGCACGTACTGAACTACAGATAATATAACATAACACTAAGCTACTACTCTAGTTCACTGACCTACTTCAGTAAATTTCTAATCCCTGAAAAAGAATGAACATATTTAAAATTCAACCTTTTGGTTATATTTTATAGATCTTAGATTGATCTCAGTCGAGTACTACTGAAAATCAGGGAGTATTAGACAAACATTTCGTCTTATCATGAGACTTCTCACAGAACTCTACCCTTAGAACTTTTCCATCTCGTGGTGAACGTTTAGTCATTGTTATATGTAAGGAAATAAAGCATACTAGTTGAATACCATGGAAATTAGCCAAAAATATCATGTTTCTTAGTTGGTAACGATGAATAAAATGATTCAATGACGTTTTATGATTGCGATATAATATACGTCAACAGATAACATCAAATTAGCTGACTTCTGTGTCGTGATTTGTAGTCACTATACATTCATTCTTCACCTAACAAGATATTCCACAGTGAAGGAATGAGTTCAGCGTACATAATTCTTAGTCACCTCAATTGAAGCAAATTCAAAATCTCATAAACTCAGTTAATTTATTCAAAAATCTCCTTTCAACCCAATTGGATTCAATTTACACTTCGAAGGATGTACTTTTCAATCCGTTATTTTTCAATGAAAAGTATTCATTTCTAGACAATTAACTGTAATTATCTTTGATTAACTTTAAGTGAATCTCAGACGACAGTCATAGGACTAAATGACAACAAATTCTTTTTTCAAAGTGTAGAAAATCTACTTAGAATAATTTACATTGTTACCATTATCCTTTTTTATCTGTATTGTTTCTTTTCACCTCATATTCAGGAAATTCAGTTTAAATTGTTGTATATGACATGTATTCATAATCATTTGGTTAATTTATGTAAAATAGTCAATTGGAGTAGCATAAATGTTCATTCGGATACAACAGTTTTACTGCGTCAATTTTGTTGTTCCTATACTTATTTAAATCGAATAAATCAGTACCTTGAATACTATAATAAGTAAGTAGATTATATGTGTGTGACCTTATTCAATATTGTTACTGTTAATTATAAAAGAAGGTCGGGGCTATCTGTCACATTTTCCGTTGTTCAAGTGATGTGTTATATCTAGCACTTCCGTTTACTTTTCTGTTCATTTAGTAGTTATGTATTACACATTAGAGTGATAGTTTTCATTACAGATTTCATTTCAACCCCAACTTTCATCATATTTGTATTTATTTATTTAATCTGATATATTGGGTGTATGTTATACCGATATATTCACACCAGAGTTCTGCAGATAACTGCAGACCCTTGAAATTAAATTTCTAGTGAATGTACGTTCTGATATTCAACACTCACCTAGTAGATGAACGGAAAGATAGTCGGAAGCGTTGGATACAACAGGTTACTTGGACATTGAAAAATTTCTGGCTAATCTCGGTGGTTCATAAAGTTAATAGCATAGTTTATTATTTAAACTTATTACCGGCTTCTTTTGACTGTGTGTGCGTGTTTATCACTAGTGTACATTATCAACGTACTCTATTATAATCACCGACTCGAAATCGATTAACAATACTGTCAAAGGTGAACTAACTGAGGAATAGTGTTGTTGATTCCACTTACCACAATAACAATAATTTCTACATCATATCTACAATAAATGATAACGCTAATTAGTTCTATCCCCGGAACACAATGTGCCTCCTGTTATTCACACTGATGCACATTATTTTATACATTTAATCCAACACCATAAGAAACCACATGTAATAAATTTCAAACTAGATCATGTGTGGTGTATAAAACTGAGCAACAGGTATATAATCAGTAAATTGTAGCTTATTGATAATAATCGACAATATCAGCCGTTAATAAGATAAATGAAGACATATAATTAAAATTATAATAATACTGTAAATCTGCTGTTTAATAAATGCAGATTATACGTATATGTATATCTTGATTCATAGGATATTGATTTTCAAAGTTTCATCATTCCCAGTTAATTGCTCATTTTTAACAGATGGTTTATTATGAAGTTCTTTTGAGAAAAAATCGTAACTCTAGTCAACCAGTCGTTCTGCAGCTCACATAACACTAAACTTGTAATTATGTTATGTGATTGTATAGTGAGAAGGGGCCCGATCAAAACAGTTAGACTCAATCATAATTTATGAACTAAAGCAGGTTACTTCAGCCTAAAAAAATTCCCGATCACTCTAGGTTCAAGTATGAATGTAGGTCATATTTACGCATAGTTTTAAATGAAACCTCAACATAAAAAAGCAGTCGAAATCTAAAATGAACTAATTTTTTTGGTAGCTTTCACCATGAATTGTCATTGCCGACAACCAAGGTACATTGAACATTTATTTCTCACAGTATTAGAACTGGTTAACAATCCTAACCAGTGATCAAATAACAAAAATAATAATAACGTCTATGCTAGATGTATTATTGAATAAAAGTATTTTTCCTTCATGGTAAATTACCCGATGAAATAAAACATAGGTTAGTCAAAACAGAGATGTTTCACAACATAAATTAGATCATGCTCACTTAATCAAAACATAGTTTGCAAGTTTATTCAGTCGATTGTGAGCAACTATCTTTTGTGTTTGATGCATAATAACATCACAATATGATTGTTTAATAAACTATACCAGATAGATTGCAGATCAAGCATATATAACCCGATTGCTTGAAAGTCATCTATTAAAATCGATATGTCTTAGTGTACTTGACTGAAAGTTAATGAAGACTGTCAAGAGTGAAATAGATGGATACAGTACCTAGGCTAATGGTTAAAACGATCAATATTTTTAATGACCATAGAGTTTTGTATAAATGATGCACAGAAATTAACTTTACTCGCTTTTTCTCCAAACTTCTATAGTACTTATCAAGATGAAACTACCGTTTCAATAAAACTGGGGTGTGGTTCGACATTATCTGCTTTGAATTCACTTCAAGAAGGATCGAGACAGAAAAATTCTATCGAGGTAAATATTTTTTACGGTGATGTGTGAATTAAAATATTTGTTTTATTTAATTAATGATAGTAAACAATTTGAGAGTGAGTTATATAATCTTTGTTCTTCAAGGCATTTGTTAAATCTTGTAGGCAACTATTAAGAATTGATGTTTGGTTGGGCCTACAGTAATTACAAATCACAAACTATCGAGGTTATTCTTATACGAATGAGACCTATTTTGAATTGCAAAAAGAAGTGAGCGCAGAGAAACTTGATACTTCAACGAAGAACCAACTGGAATGAAGCATCTCTCTATGTACATATAACAAAATGTGACCTTAGAATATACAGAAAATTAACAAACTAGGGGTGGTAACAACCATTAGGAAAACATCAAAAATTATGTCGAAATATAAACTAGAAAAAGTGTACTTGAGTCTATCGTTACAGAAAAGAAATTAACATTTAATCCGTTTGTTGTTTATAATGCTCGTGTCTTAAGGCAATATTGAGGCATTCCGCACAGCATTCACATATACCATTAAGACACTGACAAATGGCAGTCCTAAACGTCAATCGGAAGATTCAAACAACCAAGACAAGAGGGATTAAACTTCACCCGATTGCATAAGTCAGTGGAATCAGTAGTTAAATGGATATTGCGATAACATTTGAAGCGAACGGCACTGAGTTTAAGTCCCGGAACATCAACTCTTTCATAAAGGTACGCTCAGCTGACGAGTCCCAAATAGGACGAAACTAGAGTCCTGGATTCCATTGCTAGGCACTATCTATCTCTGCTTGAAATTAACATTTAATGTCAAAAACTAGATAACAACTTGAAATCTTCCTAGCAGTTGTCAACTAATAATGTAATATTTGTGTTGAGGTTAGTCATATTGTTTCTCCTGAAATATTCCAAATAGAAATAAAATGTACCGTCTAGTGTTATATGTAGACTCAGACAATTACTTATCCACTGATTTTAACTGTGAAGTTTACATCCATGTTACAGCAACGTTTCACGACCACATATGCTATGTATAATTCTGACATGATACAAATGCTGTACACCGTACATGTGATCTGTTGAATTATTATCATTATCATCATCAGCTTTATTCAATATTATATTTTTCGTACAATATAGAATTCTCAGCGTAAAGTATTTCAACAAGTTTCCGTTTCGTTCTTCTTGGTCGGTTCTGGCGATAAATACCGAATGATCGCCAGTTAGATGTTAGCAGTTCACTAAATGAACATCTGAATAATGTGCATTCTTTTCGCTGTATAATGAATGCCAGCAACCGCATTGGCTCTTATTAAGTTTTTTGTAACTTTGACAACGAAAGGTTGTACACTTTTCAGAAACGCAGCAGAATAGATTATGCGATTAAAAGACATAATGATATATTAAAATAAACAAAAATAGATAACTTGTTGAAATATCTGGATGGCAGGAACAGGTAGCCCAGATGCTCAAGCAGGCCGCCCTTGTTTACGTGAAATATATCGATTTCCTAACACACTTCCTATCCAATGTTTAATGTCACGTTGTCAAACGAGTCTTATTACGTATCGGGATAAACCAAAGAAACTATATGAAATTAATCGGGATTTGTAAACTTTGGTGTCAGATTGGGTTTGCGAATTGACAAGCCCCAAGTGTGTACTAGCTTTCCTACAAACTGGTGTCCCGAACTTTATCCTTTAAAGAAAAATGTGTCTCCAATATTCTTGTAAGTGATATTCAAATCATTCAGAAGATTATGTTTACTCAATGTTTTCATCAAACATTGCCATTTGTTTACACATTTAAGTCAAACTACAGATTGTCTAATAGGCTATCAAGTGAAAAAAATTATCAACTCTAGAAGCATGTTTACAGCGGAATCAAATCAAAATATATAAAGTGAGAGTTTTTGTGAGCATCACTTTTCGATGTATTGTAAATCCAAACCTAGAGTTTGACATAATTCTTTTATCTTTCATCCCACTGTTGTGAGAGTCCCAGGGTATCTCTCGTAAATGTCTCTAGAGGCGCAGAAACTCCAGGGAACGTTCTATCCGATCAGCGTCGAATAGAAACTTCGCAGAAACATCTAGAAAATGCAGAATCACATCATGATTTTGATTGAATATATACTTATACTAAGTATACTTGGTATGGTTTCAGAAATTTCTAGAAACCCAACGTCGTGATTGACTTTACAAATACCATCATTTTTTCTTTATATATAACCCAATCTTGAAGTAAGGCTTCTACTCACAATTCATATCCTTTCTATTTTGCTCCATATGACGTATAGAAGTAGTTTATGTTTATTGAAACCGTCTAGAAAGACGATTTCAACGTATTTGTAACAAGACTTATCACTCTCTTAGTTACTGAATTCTTGACAATTCAATAAACAATAATTAGCCCCCAAATGCCCTGGTACGGCCAAGAGTGGGGAGAGTCCGCTCTCCCTCTCGAAATGCTCTCACATGGCCACGCGTATATAGCCTCTGCCAGTGAAGTCCTACTCACTGCCTTCTCGTGGCGGGGGTGTTGTTTACGAAAATGAGAGGACGAAAAGCGAATGTCTGGCGCTTTAACCGAATTCCAAACCAAACCAATGGTGCACATTGGCTCCAGTATCCTGAGGGAACAAATGGCGTACGAACCAATCGTTGGTCACCGGCTTCCATGGGACTGCATCTCCTTACGATGCTCCACTGCCTTGTGGATCAAACCTTCAGGTCGAAGGCTCGGGGAGTGGCTCCCTAAGAAAACCACCTGCTTCGGTTTGGGCACCCGGGCAGTACCACAGCCCTCACACATATCAAATGAGATTTGTGTGGCGCATATGTATTTGGTGCCTCCTTGTACCAATATCTATGTGTTAAAATAAATAATAAATAAACAATAATTAACTTCATTGAAGTAGAACAAATCTCTCTCTCTCTTTTGTCATAATAAGATACACTTTTTTCATCACATCACAGACATCATCAACTAAACACAACTGTATAATTTAATTATATTCAGTATTGATATGATCGATTAACTCCTATTATCGATCCAAACAAGTAATTTTAAAAAAAGCACATTTATAATAGAGTATTTAGGGAATAAATGGTTAATTGGAATTAAGTGGCTAGTGTGAATTGTTTATTTCTAATCCAAACTATTACCATCATTCAGATTTCAATCTTCAAGGTAATCTTGAACATTTCTTCTCATCTATTTGAGAATAATGAAGAAGAATAATAACATTAGGACAAATGATTTAATTAGTAACAAAGATACAAATACAAATATTAATAATAATAACATTGGAATATCAAAATGTTTTTGTATTCTAAATTTGAAAAATGAGAAACATTCAACATTCATTCAATGTAATCATAACCCTACTAGACATTATTATTCTTTAATATTTCTAAACAAATTAACTACATATAAAAAGTATCCATTACTATATCCTTTACACATTGAATATAAATTACATAAGAAATATATCTTATCAATAAATGATAATGATAATAATAATAAGAAGAAATTACTCGATAAATATGATCATTCTATGCTCATTATAAATAATATAAAAATGTATTATTCAACTATTTTATCAACAAATTTATATATTAATAAATTTAATTTCTTTATAAATATTAAACAGTTTTGTCAAAAATATACTACTTATATATTGAATAATAGTAATAAGTATTGGTTAGAAAATTATTATAAAATAAAATATTTACAAAATCAAAAATCAATTAATCAATCAATAATTGATTTATCTTATTTTAAACAAACGAATGATCTGATCATTAATAGAAATTTATATTCCGATGTAATAACAAATATGTTCACATCTAAAGGTTATATATATGCAACAAATAATAATGGATTAACATCTGAAATGAATTTAAGTAATGCGATAAATCAACAAAATCATAATGAAAAACAAGTCATTCAACATGAACGTTATCAGCGGAATCAATTACAGGAATGTACACATATTAATAGTCATAGTTCTACAAGACATTTATCAGTGATGAGATCCAAATGTTTACGTAGTGGTGTAGCTACAGAAGAAAAAATTACTATTGCTAGTAATTCATTTAAGAATTATGTCAAGAGTTGTCATTCACCTAATCAATTATCTACCTCGTCTGTAAGAGTAGCAACAAGAAAGTCAATAGGAAATGTGAATCAGTCAGAAAGATTGAAAAAATTTCAAAACTCTAAGCATTTAGTTGATAGCATCTGTTCTTCAGATGATAACTTGGATCAAAGTAGGCTATCGAATTCTGTAGCTAAAAATAGTGTATCTGTAAATTCGGTTATTGATCATTCAAAACGTACTTTGGTGAAACCTGTCATACTGTCCAAGAAACAAATCAATAAACAAGATCCTAATAAAACTTATGAAACAAACCGTCTGCGTTTAACAGCTCGATCGCATCAAAATCAATCACAAACTGCGCTCCCGTCTAAATCACAAGGAAATGTGAATCAGTCAGAAAGATTGAAAAAATTTCAGAACTCTAAGCATTTAGTTGATAGCATCTGTTCTTCAGATGATAACTTGGATCAAAGTAGGCTATCGAATTCTGTAGCTAAAAATAGTGTATCTATAAATTCGGTTATTGATCATTCAAAACGTACTTTGGTGAAACCTGTCATACTGTCCAAGAAACAAATCAATAAACAAGATCCTAATAAAACTTATGAAACAAACCGTCTACGTTTAACAGCTCGATCACATCAAAATCAATCACAAACTGCTCTCCCGACTAAATCACAAAAACAGCACCCAGCAGTGATATTGCCGTCTTCTACCTCTTCTGTTAGTTATAGATTATCGAATTTAAATCGGCCACAATCTTCAACACCATTAGGTAAACCTCGTACTTCATGTTTATCGAATTTCAAAGTTAGTTCAAATAAATACTCAGTAATCAGACGAACAAGTACACTACGGACTCTTTGTTTATGCTTTTATGCTGTAGAAATTTATCATGAAGATTTATCTTTTACATTCGCTTATCTCCCTCAATTGGTCCCTGATGATTTGGCTGGACATGAAATTACAACTGTATCAATTGGTTTCAGCTTGATTAAAAAATACACCCCATTCTCTTTGATTCACCATGTCAAATTACCAATAATGACTAATTTTTTATTGAATTATTTAACAATACAGGATATTATTCCCGAAAATGATATCAAGCCAATGTCTCCATCATTATTTCAAGTGGAGTTTGATTATTCGTCAATAACAACTGTGAGATCATTCAATAAAGGTAATGTTTTTGTGTTATTGACACTTTCATAGTATTTTCCAAATACCCGTAGATAAGGATTGTATATTACATATAGATAACAGTTTTGCAATTCAAGAGAGACATATGTATATATTTTTTAGTAGATTCTATTCAATATCACAAATAATATCAGATAATAGTTCAGTGCTACATGATTACTGTCAACCACAGCACAGTTGAGTACAGAACAAAGTACTCGGCATGCATAAACTTATTCAACTACTGTTGTTTAGCTATTTGTACAACTCGTTCTACAAAGAACAGTAACCAACACATTTGAGAGCATCATTTTGGATAGATGAAGAAAAAAAACATTGCAGAATTGATAAATTTATTTTATACTACATTATTGACTATAATCACGTAAAATCGGATTTGATAGCATTTATTTATGTTTTTATTATCTTTATTTTGAAAGCATGTTTAGCTTGATATGAATGTTCGTCAAGATTTGAACGAATAGTTAATTCTTCGAAAATGTAGGGCAGAATACTCGTTCTTCATTTCTATCGATATTAAAATTTAATCGTCAGGAGAACGAGTAATATAATCTTGACCAACGTCCAAGGCTTCATTCGGTCATTGTAGCATGGTAAGATTTATATATGCACACAGAACATTACACCCTGCATTTCGAATATCTCTCCCATCATTGATCGGTATTTATACTATAAGCAAAATTAACATACTTACTTACTCCTGTTACATGTCGTACATGAGCATAGGCCGCCCACCAGTATTCTCTATCCAGCTCTGTCCTGGTCAATCCTTTCTAGTTGTCACTCATTCTTTTCACGTCTGCTTCCAATTCCCGACGCAGTGTGTTCTTTGACCTTCCCGTTTTCCGTTTCCTTTCAGGATTCCAAGTAAGCGCTTGCCTCGTGATGCAGTTTAGTGATTTCCACAATGTGTGTCCTATCCACTTCCGATTTATTTTCTTAATTTCAACTTCAGGTGGAAGCTCGTTCGTTCTCTCTCACATTAGGCTATTGCTGATTATATCCGATCAACAGACATTGAGTATCTTACGTAGAAAACTGTTTGTAGATAGTTGTACCTTTTTGATGATGGTTGTGGTAATTCTCGAAGTTTTAGCTCCGTTGTTGAAGATTCTAAATTTGATATTGTTTGACGGACGGTTGTTTTGATTTCCATATGTTCTTCGACATACATATACTGGTAATTTTAAACCAGTAATGTTATTCATTGGCTGCCTTAATCAAGATAAATACAGTGGGCTCGAACCTACGTTAGTGAATGCGAATTCACGTAAGGTCGTAAATTATATCTGTATATCTGCCTATATAGATTATATGGCCTATGGGATTAATTTACTTCAGTTTTGCGGCCTGATAATTTTGATTGAATCGTTATTATTTAGTGATAAAATCACTCGACTTTAGTCACTGATTCGATCATGTATTGTAGTGATACAATCAATACCGATAGGGACAGAACAGAACGTTGAATATAACATAATCAATACATTTTATAACACATTTCTCATCAGTACAAAAAAGTATTCACCTATTAAAATGAGTGAATAAAGATGAAGTATTTTAGTGAACAGAGATATCAACGAAGATCAGATAAGCACAAACACTTTAATACATATAAACAACCAAGTAATCGATTTTGCTTCTAAGAACACCTGTAGATTAGTACAACTTCAGTGGCTATTTTCCCATTGATGAATTTTATTAAAGTAAGAACAATAAACATAGCAGTATATAAGATAGATTCATTCATTTTGAAGTTCCCTTCAGTCGCTAACATCCTATAAACACTAGTACATATTATTTACAATCAATATACATAGTTTATGTCATTTTAATAAAGATTCTTAGGTCATTTATGAGTTTTATTCGTCTTTCTGTGTCAATCTACACAATTTTAATAATTGTTATTAAGTAACTTAAACATTGATTTTGGAAACGTACCCTCCTAGAATCTTCCCATTTAATAATATATAAGTATCTAATCACTTTACCTCTCTATAATTCTTCCATGCTTGATGTCATTATTCTATTAAACTTCGTTAGTATAATGATATAAAGTATATACAACATTAGTTGTAAATAATTATTATCATTGTTTCTTAATTGTAAACAAATGATGAGAATCCACGAAATGAATGAATTCATCATATATCCTGCTGTGTTTATCGTTTTTACTTTAGTTAAATACATTGATTATATGTTTTGAGCACAAAATAATGAGACTGAACTATGTACAATCTACCATATTCCTATTACTTGAGAAACTTCTAAACATTTTCCTGTCTGTTAACTGAACTAATTCACTTTATTTCACCGTTCAAAAAAGTTTCAATGTAAACCAGTGTTGAAGCTTCATCTCACTTGATATAAATGTGAAATGTCTCACAAATGTTCTCAGGTTTTAGCCAAATTGTGTTACAGTGCCATACTTTTACTAAACTAACTATTCTGTTTTTTCAGTTCACTTGTATTAAGCCTATCCATAGAATTTTTCCAAATAATGAATCAATTCATCACAATTGTTATTCAATTCAAAAATTATTTGTCTACAAAAATATTGTCTTCATTTAAGAAAATAAAACATTGTCTTTTCTAAATTTTTGTCACAGAAATCCAATCAAATGTTCCTGATCAAATAGATTTATATAAGAGTTGCTTAAAAGAGAAACATAGCAGCGTAATATCGAGAAAATCATCTGATTTATTAATCACTGAGCCATCTTCATCAACATCACCATCGTTGTCATCATCAGCGTTATTATTGATGGATTCAAAGAATAAACAGTTAGTCTCCAAATCATACACTGCAAAGTCAACAGATTATTCTGTTGATAATGATGACATCACTTCAAAAATAGTTATTGATAAGTAAGTTTTGATAAACATTGCTTACCACCGCCTCCCTACACTATATGGCCTTTATTCTGTGCAATTGATAATTACGATAACGGCCAGTTTATTGATTGACCTTTTTCAAACAGGTTTGTAGATTCGGTCTAAATCGGTGTGTCTGTTGATTGTTGATTGATCTGAATCCCCACAATCCATAATTTCCATATTCTTCCATTTGAGTTTATGTTTTTAGTTGTCTACATTGATTGATATCAATGTTAACATACTGTGTTGTTTCATTGATAGTTTCCGTTTGTGTATGCATAGATGATAATAGCGTCTATGGTGTCTAGTGTAGTGTTCATCACAATTTGTATTACTTGTTTTGTAAATTATATTGAATTTGTCTTTCGGCCTGCAAAAAATAGAGTAGAGTGACTGAGTTGGTTTATGAGCAGCAACATAGCAAAGTACACAGTAATGACGATAGGCTTTATTTTGATTTTCTTTCCGCCTGTAATGTTGTTGCTTTCTTTAAGTTTATGTATTCACAAAAGATTTCTATGTAGGTGGATTATTCAATAACAAATATTCTTCTGTAAGTTGAGAACTGAATGAGAATTGATTATTCGCATTGGATTACTCTTAAGGTTAATGACATCTATCGGTCAAATCTTATTTTCGTTCTGTTTACACATATACAAAACACCACACTACCGTCATGAACACCGGGAGATTTAACAGCTCGACTTAACTTTCTTATTGATCTCCAACTAACCTGATGTGATGGAACTTATATTGGAACTTGAGATTTAGAAGCATATAGCAAATAAAAGTATCTACACCACATCTACAGCCGACTTTGGATCCTAACACCTAATATCTCCAATCATGGATTATGATTTTCTCTAAAACTTCAACTGCGAATTTAGTTCAACATTCGGTAGCTTCCTACAAGTTGATGCCATGTCTTGGTTTATTCATTCACTTTAACCTTCTTTTAGACCACTTCTCTTATACTAGTAATCATTCCACGCCAGAGTGTACAATAACAAGTCACATTTACCATATATCTTATGGGATGACATGAATCAGTCATATAGACACCCTAAAGAACAATTGAAGGATCTTTACGGCATGTATCACTCCCGATTTAAATACTCTATTCAATGCCTATCACCCATAATCTAAATCTTACTACTGACTAGAATGATCATCCTATCATAGCCTCTAAATAAACCGAATGTTAAATTAACCAGCGCCCACATGTAAACATTGTTGTGTTTACTAATTTTTTTATTGACGTTTTAAAATATCAACTTTTTATGCTTGTTTGCTTTTCTTCTTTAATAAGTAATAAAAGAAGTCCTATTAAACACAATCCCGTTCATAAATTGTGTTCAAATCCGTCGACTATTGTCACTAAAACATTTCAGTCGAATTCTGATGTGTATGATTTACTGTCTCAAGTTAAACTGAGTCTAATCAAGGTGGAGCGTCATTTAAATGAACTGGACGCATATCATGATGATGGTGACGACGACAACGATAAGAGTGTTTATTCTGTTAATCAAGTTGGTGAATCATTATCATTAGCTCATTTGGCTACATCATGTGATCAGTTGATAAAATTCCTGGGTCAACTTAAAGCTTATGATTTTCGAATAAATTCTACGAAATCTCTATTGAAGTCAACTGTACCAAGTAGTAGTACATCACTTGTTGTTACCATTGATCAAGACGAATTATTGAATGAATTGAATATTGTTTGGCGAAAACTAATTGTAGGTACAAAAAAATGGATTTCGAAACTACAATATGTAAGTAATTTGACTGAATGAATTTTTTTATCAGTATAGGGTTATGGAAATCGTTCGGTTTTATTGAAATCATGAACCGATCTAAGTTAGAATACTATTGAAAATCTGGAAGCACTGGATGGTCGTTTCGCCCTAGTACGGGACTTCTTGGCAGTGAGTATCCATGACTCAGCACGCCGCAATCAAATCTAACATTGATCGGTTCACGATTTTAATGAGAATGTTTCACAAAAAACTCGCGAGTGTTATGAGTACAATGATTTCCTGATGAATTCATCATTTATGTTTGTTGTTCATCAAGACTGATGATTAACTTTGAGGACTACTGTCCAATTTCTGATCACCTGTAAGAATATTGTGTTTGAGTTTCAGTTGGGCTCTCTAACAGGTTTCAGATTCTTTCTCTAATTATAAATAAATGTTTTAAAAATGGTTTCTAACCATATGTCGTCTACTTATTAACTTTTTACTTGTTTGAATGGTTAACGTTTAAAAATAGTACAAGAATGTGTTTCACATTGTTGTAGCTTCTACTTTTATGCGTTAATAATAACTGATGTCATCACTGATATTTTTAGTTAAGATAAAAACTGTTCACTGCATTGAAACGTTGTATACCTCAATATATGAGGTATTAGGGAATGATGGTAAATCAGTTGAAGAGGTTATGAATCTTCATCGACTGAGATGGTTGGGCCACGTATTACGTATGCAATGCTAACCGGGGTAGGGGATGGTTGGAAGAAAGTTAGGGGCGGCCAAACCAAAACGTGGCATCAGTGCCTGAAGTCACTAACTTCTAGTCTGAGCCATGTTGGTAGATGCAGACTACTTGGTTGGGGTCCGCGTGACTTTCGTAACCAATGGTTGGAGACTCTTGGTGACATGGCTCAGAATCGATCACAATGGCGCCGGTGTATACACTCCCTGTCTTCTTTTAAACTAAGAGACTAAAATCACTTCATTCTTTCTGTCTACGAACTAATTCTTTCTTCCTATACTATATCCTTATTGCAACCTTTGACCTAACCACTCCTATGAATCCGCTGTTCATCTTGCTGTGCTAATGAGGTATGGCAACCTGGACCGATGCACATATGTGCCTGGTCCTACGTTGTAGCTGACTGACTGACTGACTTGATGATGAATCTCCTTATGGAAAGTCGTCTGACGCTTAGACTGACTGATTAAAATAAACAATAAGACTTTGGGCCGTAAATTATCTTTTTCTAATATACTTACTAATAACCGCTTTTAATTCACCAGAAACTGTTAACAGTCGTGACAATACACTGATGATGAGCAATCTGATATTGTTATCCGTACGTTACACAGTCAGTCATCTGGAATTCAGTGTACTCGAGTACCCCTTACCTATTCCATAATTACTGGTAAAAAGAAAACTGGCTTAGTTGAATCTAGTCTCTTAAACTTGGTAATCATTTGAAGTAAATAATCTTTCAAGATTATCTTAAGGAATATAGTTACCCTATGGTTTATAGAGTGTAAACGTTTTAATAGATCTCTACTATATAGTGCAAACTAGATTAAATACTAAAATCTCACGTGTTACGTATGCCTGAACACCGATTACCATGACGTGGAATGCAAACCGGTGTTGGAGATGGTTGGAAGAAAATTAGGGGCGGCCAAACCGAAACTTGGCATCAGCCCTTCAAGACACTAACTTCTAGTCTGAGCCATGTCGGGAGATGCAGACTACTTGGTTGGGGTTCGCGTGACAATCGTAACCAATGGTCGGAGACTGTGTGTGACATGTCTCAGAATCGATCACAATGGCGTCAGTGTATACACTCTCTATCTTCCCTTAAACTAAGAGATTAAAATCGCTTGATATCTCTCTTTCTACGAACTAGTTCTTTCTTCCTTTACTATATCCTTATATGCAACCTATCTTTCATATATTACCACCACTGAATTAACTACTTTTATGAATCCGGTGTTCATCTTGTTGGGTTAATGAGGTATGTCAACTTGGACCAACGCATTTATGTGCCTGGTCCTACGTTGTAGCTGACTGATTGACTGAAATACTACAATAATTTCTACTTGATAAAACAGATTTTGATTCATAAACTTATTGTCAACTGATAACCTTAATAAAATTTAAAATATTATTGATTCACTTGGTAAAAAAGGTTTCAAATACTTGGCTTTGAGACAGAATTTTTTGCATAAATTTGATTAGGATATCCAACTCTCAGGATCTTATAATTAAAGAGAATCTAATCAGAATTTGTAACTCAATATGGTTGAATTTCAATTAGATCAACCACATCAATTAACAACTGAATAAATTTTAATTAATTAATATTTGAATGATCTAAAAAAACTTTTTAAATTCTTTCAGTCTGATCAATTAGCGGGCTAGTGTAAATGAATTCATGAATTCAAGGATTAAAATTAATAACCACCCCCCATTCTGGTAATAATCATGTGCTCACTAGTGACTGATTTCAAAATGAATTTCCTGGAGTTCTATTGAAAAGCTTTGACCAGTAGAATTCAACTGTATCTCTTGTGAGGAAGTAACTCACTGAAGATAATGGTGGACGGTCGCGCAATATCTTGGATTGGTTGATATTAGACATTAACAACATCGGATACTGACTTAGTAGTCTAGAGAGGTTAAGCGTTCGCACGTAAGACTGAAGGTCATAGGTTCAAATCCCATGTGAGGGATTATGGATGTACACTGCTGAGAAATCTCATAGTAGGATGAAACACCCATCAAGTGTTTCTAGGTTTTCAATGGTGGTTCAGCTTAAATCGACTCATAAATCCAACCATTAAAATTATTACAATCTCCACACACACACACACCCCTATCCTGATGATCAAATAAGTATAAAGCATAGTTTTAATTTTTATAAAATAGGTCACTCTATACATTATTCCGTCTACTATATTATTATTATTATTATTATTATTATTATTAATTAATTAATTAATTAATTAATTAATTAAAGAGAAAGAAGCACACACACACTTTTAACCAAACATTTAACATTCAAGTTTATTTATTGTTCAATATAAATTCAATTTTTGTTTCTAATGCCTGATTGGTATATTTTAAATGATAATCGAAGAATATACATTAATCTCTTATTGATTAATGTCTCATGTATCTATCTGTGTACACACACACACACGTGCACATGCACACATAAATACATATGAATAGATCGATTATCTAGATGGGTTTTTATTTATATTATTTTGATTTAAACTATGATTTTGGTGGTGTTTTGTTCTCTGAGCTGGATGGTTTGGTCGTGGAGCTTTCATCGTTCTTCTGAACGACATCATCAGCACAAACTTCAAATAGAAGTGAAGTGTTCGAATTTTATATAAGAATGAAATAAAGAAAGAACACTAAATCGATCGATATTTATATAGTTATGTTAGAACAATATTATTTATTTTAATTCTCTGTAATCAGCATGTCGGTTGTGTACTGAAACCGCTGTTACCTAGAATTTGAACCATAGACTTTTAGACTATCCTCCCCCACGAAATAATGTTGGATCATTATATCCCCAATTTATGAATGATGTGGCTACATTTAAAACAAATTTCTCACATTGATTAGAGTAAACATTAGAAGTGTTTTTGTGATAAGGATAAACAGCAGTTGATATGAAATCATTCCAATTATAATCAAAATCGAGCTCATTTAGTACTTGTGTTTCGTATTGAACAAGCTTCCCACAAGAAACAAATGCATTATGAGGACAAATAATATTTGGTATGAAATCAAGATTTGATTCTTCTGAAATAGTTTCCTCGAATTTATTAAGAATGTCATTGCAGAGTAAAGGATCATTAGAAAAATCAGCATCTACCAAAACTATATCAGGTTTTCGATCATGACTAGGTTCATTCAACATATTTTCCTCAGGTTTGCAAGGAATTTTGTCAGAAATATGCAAATCATTATGAATAACCATATCTGGTATAATAACATGAAAAATCTGATAAGTCGATTGATTAGAAATTGTTGTCTCGTAAGAATTCTGAGTTTCATTTAACTCTGAACTGCTATATAACTATATACTGTCTTTTGAAATCGTTGATCAAGATAAATGATCATTACGAATACTCGACTTAGTATAATCTGAATTACAAGACTTAATATTAGTTGCAGTAAAATGAACATTAGTATTACAGACTGACTGAATATGTCTAATATCACCAAATTTAAAGCACTTAGAATTACGAAATTTACATGAATTAAAAGAGTGGAACCTGCCACAGGACGAACATTGACCAAACTTGTGCCCATCTTCGTGAACTGCGTTGCAACTCCTCAATGAATTATCAACATAACCTTGAGTATGCACTGGGTTGGGATGACGTAATGTAGTGGAATTTTTTATATCCTCATGAATCATTTTACGAAATCTTCCTCCTTTACCACATTCGAAATTTGTATACTTAACATAGTCTGGCAGTGGATCCTTGAGAGTTGTATAAGAAAGCGAAATGGGCTTTTCTGGTAAAGCCAGAGTTTTTATTAAGCTATATGCTTCTTTTCCGATGAATGTAAGGTAATGTGCTACAATATTAACATCCTCATCATCTTCCTTGGTCATAGCCCAGATTTCGAACTTTTCAAAGTAATCCTCAGAAGCACCAAAATCTGAATGTATGTCCATCGCGACGCCAATATGATAATTAGATGTATTTGAATTATAATATGAAATAAGAATCCCAGGAATAACGTAATTGGATCAAGAAGTACTAGATAACCACAAACTAATGTACTGTATTTGGAATTCGAAATCAAGGATTCAACAAGTAGAAAGGTATCATTAGTTCATTCAAACACCACATTCTCTTTTTTTTTTCTAGAGAAAATAACAAGCAAAGATGTCTGTTATGCAAACACTAAAAATTGTCAACATTGTAAAAATTATCTCCTATGAGGGAGACATAGAAAAGAGATGAATAAACACAAGAGAAGTGTTTTAACCAGAAAATAATGTAATCTGTAGAATATTGGATACTTGTTACTATAAATCGAGATACATAAAAGTACATGAAAGCAATAGATGATGATTTCTAAGTAAATATCATTCAATTGTTGATGAAATAGCTCAATAGTAACATTTCTTCTAGATTATATAAGGATAAATGATGTGTACGTTCGAGTCCGCATCAGAAGTATTATTTTCCTAAAGATTACAGTTATGCGCTACTAAAATATGCCAATTATCTCAAAAGTTAAACTCAAAATATGATACTGATTATCTTTAATTAATTAACTTAGTAATTATATCATACAAAAAGTAATAAAGCTTATAAATAGGTTACATTCAAATCACACCATTATTTAAAGCAATTAGTCCCTTTTATAAATTTCGATAGAACAATGAGAAGACTGAGTTTATCTGAAAAATGTGATGTATTTGCGCTATATATTTCGAACAAACTGATGACATTTTGATATGAAAATTAATAAAGGTCAATTAAATGAAAGTTCAAGTAAAATAACAAAGAGGAGAGAAAGAATAAGAAATTGTCGCGTTATCTTAGGCCATAGAATGACTTAAGGATTACATAAGCGGAGTTTAAATTTACGAATAGCTAGGGCTTCAATAAACTTAAGAATTCGTCCTTGACAATTTCTGTACGTTTTAAAAGCTGTATGAATGTCAATTTTGTACCCTCGTTTCAATTATATATTTCGCTATCGATGAACCTGGTTTTCTAACTCTCACATTGATCGGATCATTTGGCACATATTGATTTTGAAGCCATCTAGGCACATGTTCATTGACCCTTGATTTCACCATTATTATTATTATTATTATTATTATTATTATTATTATTATTGTCATTTCTCAGATCTTTCTTTACACTTTCTTATTTTCTTATTTTATAAATCACTAGAAGTTTATTTATGAAAAAAGTTTAAACTATTTAATTTATGAATTTGAAAAACATTTAACTTATACAAAACATCGTTTAGATTATTATTTTCAACATATCCATGTTATATTCCCTACTAATAATGAAAATGAAAAAGAAGAAGAAAGTTTCAATGTTGAAAAAAAATTAAATAAATCATCAGAATCCATTATCACATCAACGACAAGATCGCCATTATTCTCTTCCACATTCTCATCATCAACATCAACATCACCATCACCATCTTCTTCATTATCTGAATTATTATCATGTGCTCAATTATTGTATACAATTAAATTACGATTAATTGATTGGCTTAATTATACAACTTTATTATTAATGTTAATAAAGGATAATGAGAAGAATGATTGGTATTCCATCTTAGATAATGTATTATTACAATCTAATGAATATGATAATAATAATGATAATGATATAAATGTTAATTCATTGAAAATTGATCTTGTAAAACTTCAAATAAATTTTTTTCATTTATTAAATTTAAATAAAAATTTATGTTTAAAATGTTATCAATTATTTGCATATTTAAATAATAATAATAATAAATTATCATTCATTAATAATAAAAATTATTCTTTACATAATATTACTAATCATTTTATCATGGAAAATCAATATATTGATTTATCATTATTAATTAAAGATGATTATATAATGAAATCTAATTCACAATTATATGATGATAATGATAATAGTAGTAGTTCAGAATGCTTTGAATCTGATCATTTTTCATTGATAAAGGTATATGTATGTTCTTTTTTTTTATTAGATTGGAAGTCAATGTTTCAATGTAATATAAATGAGTTTTTTTTTCTAGTTGATTATCATCTTAATCATTTCATTCTATTGTGTTTAATGTACTATGATTCTATGGTATTTTTAACTAACTAATTAAGTGATTGCCATCATCATGTTTTTATATTTAAATATATTCTTTAATACTATTAACTATTAGCCTTTACTTATATCCATTGTATCATGTGTCATGTTCTTTTTAACTAATTTACTTATTTAGTAATGGATATAAGTAACAATTATTCGAGCGAGTACTATCACTGTTTTATCGTATTAGATTAGTACAAATTGACTATTATATTATTATTATTATTATCTAGTCTTTCATAGCTTTCAATAATTCTCTAGATTAAAATAAAGTGAGAGCAATGAGCATAACAGGATAACATGGATTCTAGAAACATGTCTCTTTGTGTTTTAAAATTTTCCTTCTAAAATCTTCCCATTTAGTAACAAATATCTATTCACTTTACCACTGTATAATACTTCCATATTTGATGTCATTATTCTAATAATCTTCGTTAGTATATGTTATAACGCTCGGTTTTACTTCGTCTAATGTTATAAAGGTTGGGTTTCCACGTTAATTTACTTTGACGAATATCTACACTAGATTCCTTTCCAGTGTCTATTCTACAGGACTTCAACACAACTCAGATTAAGAACACGTGATTAGCCTGAACACAATGTAAATATATTTTCACACTGAAACCCGACACAATCCAACAACAATGAACAATCAATAATAAGTGAGTATAATAATAATAACAAGGATAGGGAAATATATAACTCATCTGACACCTGTCTGACTAAACAGACAACCAATCATTCTCGCCCACACATCAGTATATTGATATAAAGTATGTACATTAGTTGCATATAATTATTATCATTGTTTCTTAATTGTAAATAGCTGACGAGAATCCACGAAATGAATGAATTCATCATATACCCTACTATGTTCATTGTTCTTGCTTTATTCAGATCTATCAATGGGAAAAATTGTATAAAGATTCTCTATGTTTTTTTCTTTAATCAGTACATAATTAACTTTATTTTTCTCATTAATTTTTCTATGTTACTTGCGTAAAAAACAGTTTACTCTTGTTATAACCATGGGAAAACTGATCTCAATAGTAGGAAAATATAATTTCCATGACTCGAAGAAGAAAACTATCACTGATTTCAGATAAGCACTTTATTTAACCTCCAAAAATTCATGGCAACCACTTTGAGAAAATATATTTAATTATTTATCGATTTTTATTAACGTTTAATAAGTAGTTAACGAATATCATGTATTTAACCGAAAATACAATTCAAGAACACCTAGGACTCGAAACAACTGTCAATCAACGCGAAAGTCAGAATTTGCAATACGAATGTCAAGACAGTTCTACTGTATGGGGTGGAAACCTGGAAAACTATGAAAGCCATCATCCAGAAGATACAAGTGCTTATTAACAGCTGTCTACGCAAAATACTTCGGATCCGTTGGCCAGACACTATCAGCAACAACCTATAGTGGGAGAAAACAAACCAGGTCCCATCGGAGGAAGAAGCACTGGAAGTGGATAGGACACACATTGAGGAAATCACTCAACTGCGTCGCAAGGCAAACTCTCACTTGGAATCCTCAAGATCAAAGGAGGTAAGGAAGACCAAAGAACACATTACGCCGAGAAACGGAGACAGATATGAAAAGAATGAACAACAATATGGTAATGGATATTATACTGAATTACTACAAAACACATATTCTATATTATACTGAAAAAAATTTCATAATGAATTAGTAAAAAGAATATTATAATGAATAAACTTCATAAAGCATTATTATTAAGCCGAAATCATACTGAATTATATCATGATCTCAGTTGTTGTTTTTCCCAATCCATCATTGAACATTGAAACTGATGATCTGTTCTATTTAACTTTATTGTTTTTTTGCCTTATAGAAAAACAATCGTTCAAATTTATTGGATATAGATTTGGTAAGATTTCATTTAGTTACGTTTATTATTATTATTATTATTATTATTATTATTATTATTATTATTATTATTATTAAAAATGAAGGATTTGTCTTTCATAATAAATATTTATTTATGTAAAGTTTTGTATTTTCCTGTTATTAATATTCATCTCTGAACTGATCGATCTATACCGGTTAATGAACTTTTTAAATACCTATTGTCTTCATACTCTCCTCTATTTGTAAGTTAATTGAATTTTAGAATATAGCGGTCATTTTTGAATTCAGAAGATACATTGTATGGATTATTTTAAAAGTCACACCTTGATCTATATAGAGTTTATATAATAAACTGGAACTCATCATATGAATTCCAATAACCAACATTGGGAAGCATATTAACTCTCTTATCTATATTGAACAACTGATAGTTATCATCTTAATTCAGTTGTTTAGTGAATAATATTTTAGAATTTGAAGAGGTGGGTGGGTACTGTATTCAAGTTCTACCGTAAACATCACTATAAGAATGTATATGCATTCGGTTGAAAAGTCCAGAAATGAAATGAAAAACGAACTGAACCCCAATTTAAAATAAAATTAGAAAAAATTATTCATTTTTGTGTGCAAGTTTTGTTAGTTTCCATTTGTGAACATTTGATCTATTACTGAAAGATGAAGGGGTTTTTGTAAAGATTGGTTTGATTTACAGATAGTATTTATCACATACTCATCTCAAGTTGAATACCACTGAAAACCAAGGAGCATTAGATGGATTTTTATTTAATGTATGGAACTGTTCAGTAATATGTACTCATAACCCCTGCTAATGATGAAACTAAGGACCTTCCGATTTCACATCAAGCTCCTGACCATTATACCACTAGGTTGGCATCTAAATGTACACATCTAATGAAACTTTTTCACAATAAGAAATGCTTTGGATTTAATTGTTTTGCAAATACCTAAAATATATCGTTTTTGAATGTTATTATAATTATCTTTTAATCTTGTTTACATGACCCCATTTGTTTCAATAAACATCTTTGAAACAGTTCAAGAATCTAAAATGAAATGAATAAAGACACAGTTCATCATTTGTTTTTCAACAATTTTTAACTGACTACATTTACAATCTACTTTGGCAAATAAAGCTTTAGACTTTATTTCAAGTCGTATCGTATAGGTTATGTGTAAGCCTTTAAACAAAACTGAATTTCATTTATTTGTTTAACTATTTTAAATACAATGATATTTTTAAAAAATAGAAAATATGACTTGTTACTTCATTTAATGTTTTGTATCAGTTGAATTCATGACTTTCTGCTCTTGGACTATTGAACATTACCCTCTTCCTCCTCGTCCCCCCCACTTAGAAAAAACCTGAGTACTTTTAAAGTGTACTAATTGATAAACGTATTCATTTCAATCTTAACTTTTAATTATTTAAACGCAACTAAATTAGTCGTAACATATTTGTCACTGTGATTGTGAAGGTTAATAACTTAATAATGTCATTGTATATACATCTAGTATGTATTGAATGATGAAAGGTAATTGGTAGTAGCCGCTTTATCCACACCTCCCTATAGGTTCATTTTTAACTTGTATTCCATACTGATTGCTTAACATTGCTCAATAAATTGTACCTGAAATGTTGAACGGATAGATATTTTCTAGAGAAAGAAGACTTGAATTCATGTTATTTTTGACATTGCTTATTGTATTTATAGTTTTCTTCTTGTAATGGCAATTACCGATAACACTTCACTATTATTATTATTATTATTATTATTATTATTATTATTATTATTATTATTATTATTATTATTATTATTATTATTTATTAACATAATTGGGATGCTCATTTTCTTATTCTTACGTACAAAAATTAGGTTTTAGCCAATTCACAATTAAACAACTTTATCGTTTCTAATTTATCATCAGACGAGTTAAACAAGTAAACATAATATATTTTAATTGTTACAGTTCATTGTTGTTGTTCCCCCATCTCTGTTCTGTATATCATTTCTGTGGCTTTACATACATGTCAACAAATAATGTATATATTCGTGTTTGGTGTTTGTTAATTGTATTTTCTATCTTTCATTTTATACTTGTATACATGTGGCTTATTATTATTATCAGTATGGGGTTGTGAAGATTGTTGAGTCGTAACTGAGATCTTATACCGACCAATGTTAGACCACCATTGAAAATCTGAGAGCATTGGATGGTCGTTTTGTCTTAGTATGGGACTCCTCGGTAGTGCGCATTCATGATCCCGCACGTGGGATTTGAACGAAGGACCTTCGATCTCGCGCATGAACGCTTTACCTCTAGACCACTGAACCGGCATCCAACAGTGTTATTATTATTAATTATTGCCGTTTAAATTTGTTCACTCTTTGGTAAAAAAATCTTTAATTCATACTACTGTAATTCAGTAATTAATTGTCTCTGCATAATATTTCTTATTAATTTGCACAATTCTTTTTGCTTAACGTCCATGCATGTTTTTATAACTCATTTTTGCTTGGATTATTGTGTTCAACATTAAATTATTAATATCTTTTCATTGAGTATTTTTACTTCAATTAGTGTTTATCAAGTTTGTCCGCTTTACTCATTTTTATTTAACTTTGTCATAGACATGCTTTTATAGATAATACTTTCATCGTTTGACTTTTCAGGAGTTCATCTTCTACCTGGAGATCCACTTACTGACTTAAAATACACAGATGATCTAGTTTTGTTTGATGAAGATGCTGACAAAATGCAGATTTTTCTGACCACCTTAAGTAACAATGAGAGCATGTTTGTGATGCGGTTCTGTACCTCCGAATATAAAATGTTACTTCAGGATTGGCTTGCGCCATTGCCCGAATTATTGATAGGGAGTGAAGTAGTTGAACGCATCGACCGCTTCACTTATCCTAAATGCCTTATCAGTACTAATGGTCTGGCCAAACCAAAACATGGTATCAGTCCATGAATTCACTGGCAATTTGACTCAGCTATGTTAATAGGTATAGACTATCTGGTTGGGTTCCGCGTGATTATCATGACCAACGGTTAGAGACTTTGAATGGCATGGCTTGAAATCATCTACAATATCTCAGGTGCATCCATTCCTTGTTTTTCCCCCAAATTTTGAGATTCTAAATTCCTCACAACGTTTTAATTTCACTAATTTATATTTTCTTTTCGAGTCATATCTTTGATATCTAATCTTCCTTATTTCTACTGATACTGTTACTACCTCTACTATTTCTGGATTTGGCTTGACAACTTCATCTCGATGTGCTAATGGAGTATGGTAACTTAAACCGATATACATACGTGGAGTTTCCACGTTGTGACTGACAAATTGGCTTAGAATTATTTTGATCATTCTAACTAATAAATTATGTTAATTATGTTATACGTGTTAACTGATTACTTTTTATTGGTAGTCGTACATGATGTAAGCTTTTTTTTTACCATAAACCGTACTTTTATGCTAAAAAATGTTGGTTTGCTACGAAATTTAGGTTTCACCTCTCTAACTTGGTAATTCAATTGTAACAATCAAGAGAGAAACTGCAAACATGTGAATAATATTTAGTTAAATGGTTTGTAAAGATTTCATGGCTTTACTTTAGAAACACTAACTTTGTTTAAACACCTGTTTCAAACTAGGTAGCATTCTATAATTGTTCGGTCCTAGTAGGAGGCTTCCTAGTAGTAATCATCTATGACCCCATCAGTGATCACATCCATTGTCTTCAGACCTTACCGCAACCCCCTAAGCCTTAATCCATTGAGCCTGCAATCCAATATTTCAGATTTCCAAGTTCAATCATTTAAAGATAGAGAGCGACAATTTACAAAATTTCTCTAAACTAACGGTGATTGATTTAACTGATGAAAGTTGGTTGTTGTAATGAGTTACTGATACTAGCCAGTTAAAAAACCATCAAAAACTGAGGATTGCTAAACAGATGTTTGACTATATTTTAAGTAATTCTCAAGTGGGTGCATTTATGTTCCCATATAAAACTAAGTAAACTGAAGTCTCACGGTAAGCCCATCATCTCTTGCAATCTAATCACCTAACATTTCTAACTTCAGTAAATATACAGTGTAGGTCGACAGGTTATGAATTGACCATCAAAGTTGAAAATGTGGACTAATGGCTTCCGACTCAGTAATGCAGATACAACGTGATCATCTTGAAACCTGAAGGCTATCTTAAGTCTAATCATGTATAAGATCTTAGGGTGCCGACTTTTGAGGGAACTCCCAAAACTTCTTCATTTATAATAAATTTCTAGATAAAGTTAATCCTTGTTGAAAGATATATTTTTATTAAAATAACTTGAACGAAAACTCATAGTTTTCACTTCTTTTAACTCAGTTTGTTTAATATTGAATGTAATAGACCATTCAACAAGCCGTCAATAAAACCCTTTTTGATCTGTTGAGTTTTCTAGTCAGTGTAACATTTAATCATTCATATATTAAAACAGTCTTAAACTCAATTTACGTTTTTTGTTTAAGATCTTATTAACTGATTAGTCAGATGTAAAACAATCTTGTTAACTAATGTGTAGTGGTTGATTAATGCAAACGCCAAGTCACTTTTTTTACGTAATCGTTAGATTATTTCATACTGTATTTTTCAGTTTTGTATTAGCAGTTACTTTGTTTATGATATTCTGCTTTGTATGTGTATGCACATTTATACACATGTATAATGAATTTATTGTATCTCTCGTTTCTCGTATAATTTTCTAGTATTCATCAAACCCCTAAATCAATATACTTAATTGCTATGGTGAAACCAAATTATAATAATATCATTTTGAAAAATAACGATTTATCAACTATTGAGAGTAGAATGCAAAGTGTACATAATGTCCATGCTAAACCTTTGACAAAATTATTTGATCTAAAACAAATAGCTGGTTTACAGTTTTATCCTTATCCTGTTCTTCATCATGATAGTAATGAACAGTCTAATTTCAGCAATAATCTGACAGAATCATCAAACAATAAAATTAAACAAATTCAACTTCATTTTAATCTAACGAATTCAATGCAAAATATGTCGGAAAAATCGATCATGCATACAACTATCATCAGTAATTTCATGAATTCATCAAACTGCATTTGTATCATCAGCACTTCTTATAAATCAGGTAAAATAAATATAAATAGTACATTTAAAATATCTTACAAAAGAAATGTTCATTTAAACGATGAACTATTAATAAATTCACCATTGAATCAAATGTCTACAATATTGAACAGAAATATTTGTGAAATCAATTGCGCCAATAAACATCATGATAGTAATGGTGCTTCTGATCTTGATCTTGATGGTGATGATGATGATGATCATAATAATTCATTACGTTATTCAATTAATACTGTATTTAAAAACAACTATGATCACTGTAAATTATTTATTCAAAAAAAACTATTACAAAACAGTTTACCATTTATGCGTAATAATAAACCTCATTTATTTCCTGTCTATAGTTCACCTTCAACATCACCATCATCACCTCTTCCACTGCCTGGTTCTAGTGTTCATTATTCACATTATCAGAACAGAAGTGTTTTGTATAGAACGACATCATACTTATCTAAACGTTTATGTAGTAGTATATTCACGAAATTGTTATCATATTTTATTTCCTTGTGTATAGTATTATATCTTATTAATTTTCTGGTAAAGTCTTCATTTTCTCTACCAGATAATCTGTTAGTTATACATAAAGAAGATTGTAGACAGCAGACATCTTCACAAATATTCTTTTATTCATTATTGTCATGGATTAAACGAATAGGCGTGGACGGTGTTGATGTACCACAAAGAAATGTCAGCTTACTTAGTGAAAATCCATTGACTAGAACGTGGCCAGATAATGCACCACCGTTTTAAACTAAAAATCATACAAATATTCAATAACCTTAACATGTGTATGAATGTTCGATGAATATCACTATATATGGTTGATTAGAATGTGAAAGAAAGCACTTTTTAGTTTATGGGATTGTACTTCTCATTTTTTCCCATTTATGCATATATGGGAATATATGTAATAATAAAAACGCAATCAGTATACCTTTGTTTTACTTCTCATTCAAAAAATTTTCTGTTCATTTTGAAAGTGTATCGAAATTTACAGCATGTATGTTATCAATCATATCGTGATTATACAGTAGTTTTTTAATCAAATTCATCAATTGCGTACTAATCTATTCAACAGTACTATACTTGAAGAGATCACGAGATTACCTAGAAATCGGCGAACGGAACGAAGGATCAGCGAAACAACGACAAAAAAGCTAAACTATCCCAATGCGTCCAGCCCCGCTAACTAGAGGGAGAAGTTCAAGTTCATATGAGGGAAAGTATATTCCACAGGCAGCCAGGAGCACGAATAACAACAACCATACGACTAAAGCGTATATACACAGTGTAAAAATGTCTTTGGGAAACGTCACAACATAGCATATTAAAAGAGGCAACCAACCAATGACATTTCATCCATCTGAAGAAGTAGTTTTCTTCAATAGGTTATCTCCTATAATGGCTTAAAATGTGATATATATATATATATATATATATATATATATATATATATATATATATATATATTCTGAACATGTGAAGTTAATTTAAATTAAGAGTACTATAACCTGGGTGGATAAGATATTCAAAAAGCTATTTCATCGCCGTACAATCAATTAATAAATAATAGTGCTTTTGCACTAAATTAGAGTAGTTGTTTCTAAATTCACTTTTTGAAGGTTGTTGGTTTACATATTATGAAATCAAAAGTATGCGCTGTTGAGAAAAATAACAGAAACTTTTTAAGTTTAATAGACCAACCTCTTACCATATAAGTCTCCACAGATAATATATATATATATTTGAATAACAGACGAAATTAAAAGGTAGAAATAAAATTGGAGGTTTACTGTCAAAGTTTGCCTACCAATTACAGAAACCAAAAGATACCTTTATAGTTAGCTCTGGACATTGATTTTTAAAGGCTTCTAGTTCGAAGAAAACTAGAGGTAAAATTAACACATTCAATCAGTCGATGAATTGATTGATTTTTATGTCTAGATTTGTTAGCAGCTTCAGATTAGCTGTTTTTTGTCGTCATGATAACCGTGATAAGAAGTTTAAAACGTTGGCTGACAGTTCACAATGGTACAGATGCATTCACTTTATATCGCCCGTAAGTGTTCCTTGAATTTATCCCTTGTTTTCTATTCTTATTCTTCATTGTTTAATCTTTCTCACTGTTACTAATACTACCATTCTTTCAACTCTTATTATTCATCTTGTTAATTCGTCGTGTCATTGTGATAATGACTAATTGATATATATATATTCATGATTCACTGATTTCCAATGTCATCTTTATTCAAAGTGAAACTTATCTGTAAATATTTCCGGTTTGTCAAAAGTTTATTTTTTTTTTAAAGTCATAAAATATTCTGTTTCTATTCATGGTCCAAAATCGAGGAGAGTGAAATATCAATACTTTTATACTTTTAAACTGATTGTTAACTAACTGTATGCTATTTGATGTTACATTATCTAGACCTTGGTATTTACTGCATTTTATCTATCACCTATGAATAGAATATAAATTGGTTAAGAACACCACATTTTATCTGTGTAAATAAATTAAATAAAAATAATTGTACATGCCTTGTGAAAACTTATAAATCGGACTAACGATTATGTTACACAAAATATGGTAATATAACTCCTTATTTAAAATATAAGTTAGTAAACTCGGATTTGAACTGGTAATACCCCTAGGAGTGCTTTGACCACCTAGCTGAAAGCGCTCGGTCACGCATTCGCGCCTGATTATAAGCGGGTGTACTATGCTACATATCTCCCACAACCGTTAGCCAGCTTCGATTAAACGCTTCTCAAGATATCGGTAGCCTTTTAAATATAACTTTGAACCTCTTCACTTCTGACATCTGATTTGACTGGGTTGGCACACTTCGATTATACAGGGTGTTACAGGTTAAGGCGTTGTCAAACTACGAATGCTTGTGGCATCCTCACAATCTTCAAAAAAGCTTGACATTACTGATGTCAAGCATCTAATATATTGTATGCTGTCGTGCGTAAAAAAAATAATAATCCAGTAGCTGCACTGTTAGAACCCTCAATGTCCCCAAACTGATGGTAATATACTGGCTTCTCAAGCGTCAACCCCCAAACGGTTACTAAGTATGAGAACCGATAGTAAAACTGGAATGTCTCAGGGATAAACGGACTCATATACATGGGCATCCATATGTGCATATAAATATCCCTAGAAATTGGATCTATTTTCTGACCAATCACATACTTGCCATTAGGAGATTTTTAACTGACACAACGTTAGTATTTGATTTGTCAACTTTTGATGAGCCCATCGTATAATACGTCATGTTTTAGGAGGGAGTTAAAACGCGAGATGTTTTTGCAAGATAAGTGTAATATGTTAAGGAGCAGCCCACATGCATGGTGCCCCAATAGATAGCCGCATGAAATCAAAAATAAATAGGTGGGTGTTAAGTGACAAGTATCTGTTGAAAAACCCACATGGTGGGCCTTTTTACTGTCATAATACACATCTCTCTTCGAGTTGGTGAAAATTTAAGCACTCGATAAGCTCTTGATGAGTACCTTTCTTTAATCCAGATTTTTCATATCTGTATTTAAATAGTAAAAATACTAGCCCTAACTCAGGGTCTGAAAATTCAGAAAAATTAAAATCTCACATACGCGATAAAAATTATTTTTGTGGTCTGGTAATAATATTCCGAAGCCAGACAATAGGTTTTAAGAGCTATTTAAGCCCTAACGCTTCAGACTGGGTTATTTCGTTTACTACCGAGCGTATGTGTTGTATGTAGTATGAGCTATATCGCTATGTAGAGCTGAAGGTCTCATATGAGACTGGAGGTTCGCCATCGGTATTGTGGATGGTTTGACATTTCTTTGGCAAGTTTTGATGATTGTTCATGCACAAAATTGGTTTGCTGGTTAACCGATTTCATTTATACCGGTGGAAGCTTTTCAGTGTTCTCAAGGGTTATTGTGATTGGAATATTGTAAGGCATGTCGCCATTGGTGACATTAATGAGTTTGACTGTCGTGTAAGCGGAATAAGTCAACTTTGACCTATTCGTGTTGTACATAATCGACCATTAATCAGAATAAATATACATGTGACGTGAATGCGTATATGAATGATGCGAATAGTCCACCAGGGAGCTTGGTACCTGTGTGGTTGCGCCACAGGATTGAGCTGTACTATTCGGATTGCAGCGTTAAGGCCTATACGGTGTCTGGTTCTCCTGGAAACGGGATCGAGCCGTACTATTTGGACTACAAATTTTAAGCCTGAGTGGTCTGCCTCTCCTGTTAAATGGGATCGGGGTGTACTGTTCGGGTTGTCACAAGAAAGTCTAGACGGTGTCTGGTTCTCCTGAAAACCAATGTAAAATTACTCTGACCCACAAAGGTATATCATATAGCTATGAACTTACAACTATTTATTTAAATAGTGAGTGAGAGAACTACGTCATATAATCTGTACTGTGTAATTTTATTATTCATCATGTAACGTAGTAAGCAGTCGGCAAAGGCTATACACCGAAGAGTTTCTGATGAACTCGAAGTGTGGTGCGAAACATGAATGAGTCATGCATCCATATTCAACACATGATAATAAACTTGTGGAAGGATCTGTGAAAATCGAACTTCCAACTAATGATCGAAACGTCCGTACAAGTTGCTTGGTGGCTTGAGATCAAATGAAACTACATAGTCTTAAATGTTTGGTTACAACCAGGAATAATTTATACCTAACTTTGACAGACGTGTTACTTCTTACGAGTAGCCGAAGTTAGAAATATATTTCTTAATGAAACCGCTGAATACAACCTGTGGAGCGTTATCTTAGATAAGAACTTATTCAAATTATTTTACAATATGTCACAATGCTTGAATATGCTTGCTTATTCATTCGAAGTTGAGATAAATCCTATGAGATTGTGCTGGATTTGGTAAATATCACTATCAACAGCAAGATATGAACTTATGAGTTCTTCCGTCACCTTGTATTTTCGGCAAGCTATTTGATTGACTCCATTGAGTCCTAATACATTTAAAGACACTAGGTTTACTGACGTCATAAACCTCTATAATCTAACCCAAACAACTGTTTAGACACATATTAATCCAACATAAAAATCAGCTTGTATCTTGCTGTTTCACAATCCGCAAATATCGCTGGACAATCTACATTATTTGATAGCTAATACTGTGTATAACACCATGTCTACCAAAGAGATCTTCAGGGAATATTCTGTTTCAACTTGTTTCCTTAAATAAGCCATTGGAGAAATTCAAAGCAAGTGTGAGAACTACATGGGCATCAAGATACTATCGGGGCCACGAAAAATTCTCAACAGGACGAAATACTCAGTAGACACCCAACTTGGGGATCAACAAACCGGATTCCGTAAAGATCGGTCGTGCACAGACCAAATTACGACACTACAGATCATCGTTGAGTAACCAATTAGATGGAACACATCACCATACATCAACTTCCTTGACTATAAAAAAGCATTTGACAGTGTGGATAGGAGAAAATTATGGAAACTTATTCGACAATATGGTGTGAATTAGAAGACCGTCCACATCAAACGGAACTCATACATAAAGAAAAAACCATGATCCTGAAATACAGCACGGCGAACACCAACGCAAGCACACCTGATGGTGTAGCACTGGTAGAGGAGGAATGTTTCAATTTTCCATTGTAGCGGTAGATAAATCCGCAAAATAAATAACTCTGTAAATCTTCGACATTGGACGCTGACCACATTGGTTTTAATCGACTCACCTAGATGAAAGCTCTCGGTTATGCATCCGCACCAGATCACGAGTGGAAACGTCGTGTTCAACAACCCTTGTAATCACTAGCCAGATTAGATCAGACGATCCTCAATATATTGATAGCCTATCAAATATATCTTCGAACCTCCTCGCTTCTGTCTTTTGATTTCACTTGGTGGGTACGATTCATATCAGAGGGTGTCGCTGGTTAAAGCGTTGTCAAACTCCGAATACCTGTGGCGTCTTCGCTGGTGAGCCTAACGTCATCTGGTATACCAAATAGTAAACTGTGAGTCTCTTCCTTTTTGGGATACTATATAGCATTGCCATATCTCAATTTTTTATACGTTGTGATTTTTTTCGTGTTTTTGGATATATATTTTTCCCTCGTTCATTCTCGTACTTCACATTTCATCGTGGCTGAACAGACACCCAAAGTACTTAAGCTTAAGACTATATTCCCACCTTCGTTCCAACTAATGCTCTTCTGGCCAGACAACATCGGAGCCGACTTCTGCGAGCACGGCGTGAACGACACACATGCACAATTCCTCCCAGTAGTCAAGGCACTAACGCTCGAATTCAACAGGTACGTAACACCTAGTATGTTTACTAGTGATGCTTCGGAACCCTACGAAACACTTAAATGATCTATTCTTAAATGCGAAGACCCAACCGATAGACAAAGGTTAGACCAAATCCTTGATAACATCGACCTGCAACAAGGTTCTGCGACGGACATGTTGCAACCGACGAGAGAGTTTATAGGCCAAAGAACCTTCGATAATGGCCTATTCAAACAACTTTTCTGATCCAAACTTCCTCAACAGGTGCGAGCTGTACTTGTCTCGTTTCACAACAACGCCTTAGACGAGCTGGCTGCATCTGCCGACCGCATCCTAGAAATCACGAAATCTTCTGATGCCGAGGTTTTTTCAGTCAAAGAAAAGCTTCAAACGACCCAGAATGACACAACGGAGTTATGTCATACCCTTGCACGTCATCTTAAATTTCGTAACGATCGTAAACGGCCACACACCCCGCGAAGAAGCACTTCACGTAGGCGATTTGTCGCTAGATCACGGGAGACAGATAACCCCGACTGGTGCTGGTATCAAAACCAGTATAGAAAACCCTCCATAAATTGCGGACAACCCCGCAATTTTCCAAACTCAAAATCGAACGACACGAAAAACGATTCGAGAAACTTCCAAGCCGGCACGTGTTAACGGCAACCGTAGCCGGCGAACATAGCCGTCTATTGTACGTTACAGATGTGACAACGAGAGTTCACTACCTCGTCGATACTGGCGCAGAAGCTAGCGTTCCCACAGCGAATTCTAACGATCGGCTTCACGAATCAGTTTTAAACTTACAGGAGGCAAACGGAAAGCCTATCGCTACGTATGGCCAAAGGTACGTTTACCTTAACGTGGGTTTACGCAAACTAATTCACTGGATTTTCGTTGTTGCAGGTGTTTCTATGCCAATCATTGATATAGACCTTCTACAACACCATAATCTACTCATCGATACGCGCAAACGGAGGCTAGTAGACAGAAACACTAATTTGTCGATTCGCGTAAATTCCTTTTGTGGTTACAGATTATCTCCAGTCACAATTAAGCATACGATAGACGCATTCTATCAACCACTACTCAATAAGTATTCTAGGATATACCAAACGTAACAGAAATTACCGTGTGTAACTAGCAAAGTTACACATCACATAATGACTACAGGACCATCCGTATTCTCTAAAGCCCGCCGACTAGCCCCCAAAAAACTAAGGTTGGCGAAAAACGAGTTCGACCACATGATAGACTTAGGTATCATAGGACTGTCAAATAGCTCATGGGCATCTCCGTTGCACATGGTCCCTAAAAAGGACAGCAACGATTGGCGTCCAACTGGTGACTATCGGCGATTGAACGTGAAAAGCACTCCCGATCGTTACTCGTTGCCTCACACTCATGGTTTGACAGCCACCTTGAAAGGCACAGCTGTCTTTTCGAAACTCAACTTGGTTAAAGCGTATAACCAAATCCCTATGACTGCTGACGACATTACAGAACAGACCACGATCAAGCAATTACGCACGTTTAACGGCCTTGCAAGTTTCTATAGACGGTTCATACCGAATTGCGCGTTACTCATGAAACCGTTAGTTGACCAGCTTCGTGGAAATGCGAAATCCATCAATCTGGACGAGACCACAAGAAAACCATTCTCCACAATTAAGGAACTTATCGCTAAAGCAACAACGCTTGCTCATCAGGACACCGAAGCACCCATTAGTATCGCAGTAGACGCATCTGACTCAGCAATCGGAGGAGTCTTACAACAATGAGTTAACAACTCCTGGCAACCTTCGGTATTTTTCTCTAGAGAGTTGCTAGACACCGAATCGAGGTACAGCACATTCGGTAGGGAACTCTGAGTTATGTATTGTGCTGCACAGCATTCTCAACACTACATCGAAGGCCGTGAATTCACCCTCTTTACTGACCACAAACCTCTTACTCTTATACGGGTTAGTAGAACGCTTTCACGCACAACTAAAGGCTTCATTATCAGCCGCAAACACTTCTCAGTGGACTGAGGCTCTTCCACTCGTCTTACTAGGTATTCGCAATGCGGTGAAAGATGACATTGGATACACTGCGGCCCAACTGGTTTATGGAAAGACACTTCGACTTCCAGGAGAATTCGTGGATCCTTCGCCCTCTTCAATGAACATGGATCTAACCTCATACACGAACAGGCTTACAAACGCAGTGCGTTCAGTTAAATCTGTTTCCACTCTATCGCAATCAATTGATGTTTTCGTTCAAGCTGAGTTACAATATATTACACACGTTTTCGTTCGTCGAGACTCACATCGACGACCTCTCGAATCAACACACGAAGGACCCTTCAAAGTTGTTCAACGCAAACCCAAGTATTGTATAGTCGATAAGAACGGAACCAACGATAGCATCAGCCTTGATCGCCTCAAAGCAGCATATTTAGAAGGAAATCCTATTCACGTCGGTCTTCCTTCGGTACAATCGCACGACACGACTCCTTCACTTATAACACATCAAACGACAGTCAACACACACTATGATACGTTGACAGTGTCTGAAAATAAACTTAAAACAACGCGTTCTGGAAGAAGAGTAAGATTTCCAGAACATTTGAACGACTATTGTATGTAAGACACTAGTTAACATGTTGTCTCATCTCGATTTTCCATGGCATTATATATAATATAAAAATTTTTTTGATATGCTCATATTTATATAGATTTATTATTTTGCCAATATATGTGTATTAAAATTCTTTTAAAAAATCCAAAAAAGCTGTTTCGTAAAAATCGCTTTTACGCTATCACATGTACATGAGTTTATTTTCCTTTTTTCTCCCACTTTGTCTTAAAGCGCGTACGAGTTTATTTCGACATGCACTTACATATTCTTTTTTTCCTTTCAAGGAAGGCTGGAAAAGACGATAAAAAGAACAATGAGGTTTACGAGGAATCAAATTTTTCATTGTACGTTGTTTTTTTACAACATTGCAATTCATGATCCCTTATAGTAAGGAAAGACGACTAGACGCTGCTAAACTCCACAAGCTATCAGCAGAGTGTTTACCAACGACAAACTCGTTGGGTTTAAGCTTCTGACTGGCCACGTCTTAGGGTCATCACTACCCCACTAGGGGGAAAAGTGATATGTAGCGGTAAACAAATCCCCAAAATAAATAACTCTGTAAATCTTCGACATTGGACGCTGACCACATTGGTTTTAATCGACTCACCTAGATGAAAGCTCTCGGTTATGCATCCGCACCAGATCACGAGTGGAAACGTCGTGTTCAACAACCCTTGTAATCACTAGCCAGATTAGATCAGACGATCCTCAATATATTGATAGCCTATCAAATATATCTTCGAACCTCCTCGCTTCTGTCTTTTGATTTCACTTGGTGGGTATGATTCATATCAGAGGGTGCCGCTGGTTAAAGCGTTGTCAAACTCCGAATACCCGTGGTATTTTCACTATGCTGCACTGTCGACGAACAAGGAGGATCTGATGCAGATGTAAAGGCAAGGATTGGCTAAGTAAGGGCAGCATTCCTACAGTTGGACAATATATATAACTCAAAACAACTGTCCGTCAATCAATATCAAAGTTAGAATATTCAACACAAACGTCAAGACAGTCCTGCCGTACGGAGCTAAAACTTCGAGAATTACCACAACCATCGTCAAAAATGTACAACTATCTACAAACAGTTGTCTACGTAATATACTCAATATCTGTTGATCGGATATAATCTGAAACAGTCTAATGTGAAAGAAAACAAACGAGCTTCCTGCTGAAGTGGAAATTAGGAAAGCAGATTAGAAGTGTATAGAACATACATTGTGGAAAACACAAAAACTGCATCACGAGGTAAGCATTAGCCTGAAATCCTGATAGGGAACTGAAAAGAGGGGGGCCGAAGGGCATACTGCGTCGGGACTTGGAAGCAGACGTGGAAAGAATGAATAGCAACTAGAAAGGATTGTCTAGGACAGGGTTGAGTGAAGAATGCTGGTGGTCGGCCTGTACTCCTCCACAAGAAGTAACGGTCCCAAGTAAGATGATTTTAGGAATATGAAGATATACCTAATCTCCCTAACATTTATAATGATTATCATTTTGGTTTGCAGAACAGAAACTGTCCTATGGTTTGATATGATGTGCAGCATCTTGTAATACACAGTAACTAACAGATGAGTTATGAAAGTGATAGACTATATGTTGGTGTTCTGGTAGGTCTTCTATTCAGCAATTTCGAGCTGATCGTCTGCAAAATATTGGAAACGTTCCAACTTCGTAGGAGACGCACGTCTACCTGTTCTAAACTAATTCTTAGTAAATTTTGTTCAGTCATGACTTTTTGACTTGGATCATTTTTGTTATAACCAACCGAACGATTGATCTCCACAACAAGTTCGTAGTCACATTTTCAAGCATAAAAATGGAATACTGTGGTGATAAATATGAGGGTGAGACTCGTAACAACAGGTTGTTTGGTATTCATTAAAGTTTAATCTGAAGGTTGGAGGGATTTGGAAAGTATGCTATGCCTACTGGGACATATTACGAAGGGGAAATGTTTGACGGTATGTTTCACGGAGAAGGAACTCTCCACTTTCTGAATGGAAGTAAATATCATGCAATGTGGGAAAATGGAAAACCTAAAAACGTTTGGGAATTTTTAGCTCATGACTTTTTAGGGAGAGATAATATTTTCAGATGGTCTCAAATACACAGAAGGTGCTCACTACGTCGACGAATTCGACAGGAGATTTTATACGGAAATATGTTCTGGTATAAAGCCTGCAGGTAAAACCCTTGGAGTTATTAAGTTCTTTGAATATGGGTGGGAATGGTTGTGTTTTATACCTGTCATGTTCAAACTCTTGAAGAAATGCTAAGGAAATTAAGTCGTCACTACTAGTATTACAGAATCGATAACGCAGACTTCGAAATCTGTTACACACAAGAAGCAATTAGTTTGTCAATCCAGATTTGCATATGGGCTTTAGACAGAGGTCTTGGACTTGTTGTATTTATTCTAAATTGGAACGGAGAAACAATTAGTAATGGCTGTGATCTAGGAATAACACCTAGAGCAGTACGCCTCAGTACTTATGAAACCAAAGCAAACGTCAGGCCTTCGGAAAGATTTATCAGAAGGTGCAATCACAATCACTTACTGTGTGGAGTTTCATAACTGTGATTCTAATCACGATAACGTTTGGATGGATTTTTGTGCAATCTCTTCCATGTTCTATGCTAAGTAGATGCACCTTACTTTTCAAGCCTATCAATGATCTGTTGAGGTGAAAAGGGCTGTAGACGATATGATATATTATTGGTCATGTCCCTTTAACACAGTATTAGTTGCAAACTGTCTTCACGTGAGTTGAGTAAGGTATATTCCCTGTTCTATCATTTTCGTTGTTCTCCTTTGGACATGCCTCAAGGCCGTGATATCCTTTCTTTCTAGTAAGGAAACATCATCTAGTCATTTCCAGATGAGATCTTAAATAAACATCTAAAACGGTTCCCAGTAATTCCAGAGTCATGTTACCTAAAGTTCTAGAAAGAAACCTAATGTCAGAGTATACCGTATTGGTTTTAGAATAGAAACGGACAGATATCTACAGAATTATTACCAGGTCGATTTCCGTGATAGTGGTATCAATTAGAAATTCAGAGGTGGATATATCACTACTGTTCAGCACTAGCGTTTTTTATTTACTGGTATGAAAAGGAGTTCCTGGTGGTTCAGTCGTATATCTTATGTAAATCTTCTCTAAACGTCAAAATACGAGCGGGACTCAATGGACCCCTCCAAACCTCGAGACTTACATATTACAGAGTTTGAGGTTATAGAATACATGATACGCCGTTACTAGACGATAGGAAGAGTAGTCTAAGGACTGAGCTCGCCGCACTCGGCTTGTCACTCTAATGAAGTCCGAGCTTGAATGGCTTGTGACTTCCCGCTTAAGTAACCTAAAAGACGCTCCATGAGGTTGTTTCCAGCTTGGAGTGCTATGACCAACTCTATCTGGTTTTTTAAAAAAAGCAAGAAGGTACATATGCACAGGATGATTGCGTTCCGATAAGGTCAGCTTCAACCTAGATTGGGTCAATACGTTGAGACAATTAGTGATGTTTAAGGGAGATCATTCAGACAGGTTTATTGAGACGCAATCGGTCAGATTCAGAATATTCAGGTAACGAAAATTACCCGGACAAGTACTAGCGAATATAAAATGTCTTTATAAACGAATCAGTAGAATCAATTTATGTCTCAGTAATCAACCCTACATATTTGTCGATTTAACCATGCTCAAAACATATTAATCACAGTTGTGCCAAACATTTAAGTAAACGAAATGCGAAAACCGAGAAAACCCATCCAAGTAATTATCTAAAACCGAAATGAGGGGAACCAGGTAAATGTTAGACTGAAATGTGTGACGAAACAGCGCCATAAAAGTCAGCCCTAATAAATATATTTTGTTTTAATGTGGTTTAGCAGTGTTTTGTTATTTGCCTTCTAATATAAAAAGGCTATAATTCGTGAAGAAACTAGGGAACGACGCATGCGCATACAAAAACGATGGATCTGCCCGCTAAATGGTTCAACAAGAGCTCTCCTAAAACGAATCTCCCCTAAAAATCATTTTCGAAGCCACCCGACGGGCTTTTACATTTGTCAGACAAAAATGCCTAATCGTTTAAAGTTTTTGACCGATTAACTCGATGTCACTTTTCCTATAAAAAAATATACAATGTGACCATAGAAGCTTATTTCTACACGATAGTCTGTATCAAATAACTATTGTTTTTAGTTCTACTTTTAAAGATGATGTGCGTTAGCCAGTAATAAGAATAACACTGACAGGAGACTTTGTGATTTTTATGTAGATTCTGTGATCATAGGTATGTAAACCCCCGTTGGTGTAAACGCTTGAAAATTTGCTATCCAAATGGAAATTTTCTCCTGATTTGTGGGAGCTAAAAATCTTGAACAAGAAACTTATGACAACGGATGCTTTTATTACCTTTCGTCTTCACGAATGAACATTCTGATTGTGATACTTTATGACCTGTATTTAAACCAACGCCAACATTTTTATCCATATAAAATTAACTATTTATGTGCCCATGAGATTTTCTAGGGTAGAATTATAACTCACTTAAGTGTAAAACAGTTATCAGTTCCACGTGGTAAATAATAAAATTCACTAACATTTTAAAAAGTCCTCTTGATAAGCATAAATAAAGACTAGACGTATTATGGTCCCAATTACTAACTAATAACTTGGATGATGTATAGTGCGATCCAGACTTACACTAGGTTTGTTGGAGTTTTATGTGTTATCGGTTTAGTAAGCAAAAGACTGAGTTTCGAGGTCTCATAAAAGCTTTTTAGTAGGTTTTATTACGACTGAGTGGCTAAATAGTGGAACATCTACCAAAGATCCTTAATTGGACCTTTAGTGCGATAAACGGATTACGGCTAAGTGTGGCGTTTCTGTATGTTAACTAAACACCATATATATTCCACAAACCAGGATTTTGACTTATCTAGGTGTGTTGCTTCCCAAATTACTTGAGTTATCGTATAAGCAGTTTAATTCGTTTCCAGGTATCAATGCCAATGTTGGACTTGATAGTTTCGAATAAATTGATCATCTGGTAGAAATTTAATGATAAATATGCTTTCTGTCATATCCCAGAAGAAACGATGTCTTGTTTGTAATTTTCGAACTAGAGCTAATTTTGTTTCGGTTATCTACTCTGAAGAAGTGGCTAAAATTACGTCACGAATAGTTTTCTACTCATTGGGATATCACAAAAAATGTCAGCCTAATCAATGATTGGCATTCAATATCCAGGGAAACCCAATCTGCCCCACTAATTTCGATTTATAAGTGCTGACGTATATGCTTTGTGTTTCAAAGAGGTTGATAACCAAATGCTACTTACCGAGCTTCTTATACTGTACTTCTAAGCACTTACACAAATATTATCACTTCAACCATAAGATCTGTGCAAACTAGAATTTAAGCAGGTTATGGGGTGCCACTACTCAATGATGAATGGGAACCTGGTTGAATGCGATTTACAAGTTGATACAGACAGTCGGAAAAAAGTTAAGAGGAGACAGACAAAGACACCACCAGTTAGTGAAATCAGTAACTGCTGGCATGAGACATATCGGCAGGCCCAGACATCTTGTCTAAAATCCGCGAAACGATCGTATTTCATGATCAGAGCCGCCACCTGGCATGCATTGGCTTGTGGCTTAATGTGTCCCCTCTCTCCCAATCTCGATAGCGTTACTCTACATAGCAGTATGGAGACTGTTAAGTTTTTGATTGAGATCATAGGCTGATCGGTGTTAGGTCACCGTTGGCAACCTGGGACTACCGGACGGCAGTTTCGTCTCAGTGAGACTCAGAAGTGCGCACACATGACTATTCTCTGACTTCATCCGTCTTTTTTCTGGACAGCAGCTACCTTTGCCCGCATACTACAACGAACAACATTGCCTGTCTTCGTCTTATTAATTTCCGCTTCGGGTGTATTCACAGTGGGTGAAGCAACTTGACTTGATGAACATCCGTGTCAAGTCTATAAATGACTTGATTTTGTACTGGCTTGTAGATCACGTTATCAACGGTAGCCGGGGATGCACAGAACACGATCCTAATGCATTGGTCGATGTAATATTAATTATAATGTAATATCGATTAGCGCCTTTTACCCAATACTCCAGGTGTGAACTTATCACTATTTATTTAGCTCTAATGTAGGTGATGAGTAAAATAAGTGGAACAGTCAACGTCCCTAACTACTTTCATTCCTATTAATAATCAAACTAAATAATGCCGCCTTGCAAAAGGTGAGGCGACATTCTGTATATGTGAAGTGAGTGGTCTTGGGAAGTAGTGCGTTCAAGGTGATGATAACTGTAATCAAGGTACTCTATTTCCATAGAAAGTACACGTAAAAGAAGAACCACAAGGCGAAACGAAAGTGGTTACATGTAGGAATATATGACACTACACTCGACAATAGGATCCGACGAATATGAGCATCCTTCGATGTAATCAATGGAGATAGCGATTTGACGTAGGACCCTACCTAAGTACCCGGGTACAGAGCACTGTGACATGAAGCTACAGCTAAATGGCTAGAAAATATATGGTTCGTACATCTTTATTGATCACGCTGTTTTCTGTTCACTAGTACTTACTTTTTCTCATGAAATCGGGCCGATATGCATCAAAAGGAATAATGTTCAACTCCCTCACGCTAATAATACTGAACCCTCATTGTTGAAAATACTTAGGATCTCTTGATTTCGAAGCAAGACAGAAACTGAAGAGTAACTGTGGGTCGTTTGGACTGATTCTACAGGTTCTTTGCTTATTAGACAAGAAATCACAGGGTTTTACATAAGACCTGAGGTGCAACATGGGATAATAGGGACACCGAAAACTCTGATACATGAGGCCCACTCTGAAGAAAGCAGAGACAACTTTGCGAGCTCGACGCATCAACGCTAATTAGTTGCGGGACAGAAAATACTGCTGCCGAGTAACTTTTCAAAAGCAAAAACAGCGTAGATCGCTGACAGGTGACTTAGGGTTTTCTTAAGAAGCTGATAAATTAACCCAAAACGAACTCACCTGTTAGAGTATCCCGGGCAAACAAAGCTTAAAGTTGGCACATCATAGTCCTAATTCTTATTCCATTCACTATCGTGAAGTAGCGCCGACTATGATTCTGACTACTAACTTCACTCACGGTACTAAATGTAAGCTCAGGGAGACTTCCTCAAGCTTTTCGAGGAAAAGCGATTTTAAGTACGCGGATGACAATCTAGTAGTACATGGGGAACTTTTAGACATCTTAAGAAACCCTTAACCCCAACCGACTGAAGTTGCGTTTGTCTACATAACGCTAAAACCAAAATATAACGTTGTCTTACAGTGTAATCCACCACTATGCCTAAAAGTGTCACTAGTCATTTAAGTACTCATTAACTAGCGAGTCCTGTAAAAACATAAAAACCAGTTATGGAATACCTGCTATGTACGATCAGCAGCTAGCAGATGTGATAGACAGACCAGAACTACAAAGCTGGACTCGAACTAGCCAAACGGCGTGGATATTTTAGCTTACTGTCACTATCGCCGACGAAATTTACTCTTCATTAATTACTAGTGGTACAAAATGTTTATCACAGCACCTAATAGTGACGATTAACGGTACTCTTTGTACATAAACAATGGCACAACCAGACACCAAATACATGTGTGCCACACAACAACGAGGCCGGTGGCAGTTGTCATTGATGTGTAGGGGCTGTGATACTTCCCGGCTGCCTAGACAAATGTTTCGCGAAATTACTTAGTTTGAAAGATGTTACCACTACAACACTTCGGACAGACTAATAACGAGGATAACTAGTGACCTTGTATCCAGCCGAAATTGACGCCATCCACAAGCATCACTTATCTATCAACTGTGTTGTTGCACTAAGTAGATATCGAATTTGCAGATATAGTCGCAGGTGTCTCAACCCACCAAGTTTATATATTATTCAGGTCACCAACGAACTGGGTGAGTGACGATACTTAGTCGTAGTTGGCAACATCTCAGAAACCAGATTTAGGTAAAAGAGCCACGATAGTGTTTTGCAATTATTCATATTTCAAGCAACACATTTCTCTATTTTGCAGGAAGGTCACAAATAGTAGACAAAGAACCAAGAACACAAATACCAGACGGATGCTACGATACCGGTGATGGTTTCTACAATCCATTGACGAGAGTAGTGACAGATCATAACGGATGTTTTCTTCGCAATGCAGGTAGGTTTGGTGATATACTATTGATGTACTAGATCATGAGGAGCATACATGGATTGTCGCCAAATGTAGAAAAGCATGGGATGAACATGTCGGTGCCACGTATGACTCTGAAACTATTAAGCGGGGAGTGAAGCCTTATTGACTACGAGATACTAAGGTCTGATTCAAATAACACTAGAAATATATTTTTTTCTCAAACATAATAAAAAAATTTTACTTAGTGTCGTGTGAAATTTTATTCAAATGGGATTCTGTTTACTTGTCTGAAGTAGTACGAACTTTTAGTGCTTGCCTTTCGTCCATAGCAGATAATATAGTGACCTAGGAAAGAACTTTATTACCCACGAAGCAACTTACAATCATATTCTCTGTCTCCCCTCTTGAATTCCATTTTTCCTTTAATTCCTTTCCAACTTCATTGTCAGGAACGGGAATATCTTCGATGACGCATAAATCGTCGCCCATTAGTGACAAGAACCCGTCTTTGATATCCACCAGTTGATAATCCTCACTTTTTATCACAGGTACATCCATAGTGTGTGATGATGTGCGATTCTCTTCATATTTCTTACCAGTGAATATATCGATCCCAACTATGTGCACTTTCGCAGAGCCATGTTTCCCGGTCTTCGACGTAGACATGTCCACGATTTTGCAAGGACGATCTTTCATTACGACATATCCGCCTTTCCTCAAAGAACTACACTGTTTCGGTAAAGTTTTTGAAGCCCCAGAATCTCCAGTTGCAAATTCTTCATCATCTACTATAGACATACTACTTGTGGGGCACGCACAGCTAACACCACGACTAAGACAATCTAGGAGACGCGCGCTTACTAGTACTATTAGTGAATAAAAACAAACTTCAAATAGTTCAAATGGTTTTGGACGGAATAGAAGAAGCTTTCGCTGGTTGGGCTTCCCTGCCTGGTAGAAGTGGATCGCCAATACCTCCAGGCAGAAACCTGTGTATAAAAGAGGAAAAAGAAAAAAAATAGTGAGATACTTTAAGAATATGTCAAGTTGACTCTTAAAGGACGCCTGGTAAGTCGCTTGCATTGATTCAGCTGGCAGCGAATTCCAGTAATTGACGAATCTTAAGGAGTAAAAGTTATGTCTCAAAAGCTTTTGATAAGGTTAACCACTTGTGTCTTACCAATAAGCTCAAACGACTAGGTGTCAAACCACCTCTAATCGATTGGCTTACTTCATACCTAAAAAATCGACACTTTAAGGTTAGGGTCAATTTCACTTTATCTCAGGCTATGGAATGTCCTAGTGGGGTCCCCCATGGCTCAGTACTAGGGCCTCTTCTCTTCTTGATCTACATAAATGATCTTCCTCAACAGGTAACGTCAGACTTATTACTTTTTGCCGACGATGTGAAACTTTGGAGAGAGATACGCAACCAAGACGATATACAGGCACTTCAGGAGGATCTGACTCGACTTCAAAGTTGGGCAGACGATAACGGACTTACCTTTAACACTTCAAAGTGTAAAGTAGTCCATCTGCGACATGTTGCAAACTACAGTTACAACTTAGGAAACTCCTCTCTAGTAGTATCCCAAGTTGAAAAAGATTTAGGAGTCCTGGTGCCCCATGACTTGAAGTCTTACGCTAACTGTGACAAAAATGCCTTCCGAGCAAACCTTGCACTGGTAACGTTGAAGCGCATTTTTGGACAGTTTGACGGACGAACTTTCCATACAATCTTCAATAGTTTCATCCGTCCCCATTTAGAGTACGGAAACATAGTACTCCCTCCCTCACTCCAAAAGGACAGGGTCACTTCGGAGCGTATCCAACGCCGAGCCACGAAATCAGTTCGAGGACTCAAATCTAAACCTTACGAAGAACGCCTCCATTCACTAGACCTTTACCCACTAGAGTATAGGCGTCTTAGAGGTGATTTATTAATGGCTTATAGTATTCTTAACACTTCTGGACATCCTCTTAAACACCTACTTAAGCTTAGTTCGAATAATAACCTAAGGGGTAACACCCAGAAACTGGAAACACAACATAGCAAGACGGAATGTAGACACAACTTCTACTCCTTAAGAGCTGTCAAAATCTGGAATTCGCTACCAGCCGAGCTAGTTCAAGCAACTTCTCAGGAGTCCTTCAAGAGGCAACTCGACCTGTTCTTAAGGACCAAGGACAGCATCACACTATGATTTACCAATTTCTTTTCCTCTTTTATTGTCAACATACCTAGGTTCCTGCCTGGAGGATTTCGTGATCCCCTGCTACTAGACACGGAAGCCTGTTAAGCGAAAGCTTCTTCTATTCCGTCCACAACCATTTGAACCATTTGAATCCGTTCTGCCGTGTTGTGTCTCCAGTTTCTGGGTGTTACCCCTTACGTTTGTGTTGAAACTAAACTTAAGTAGGTGTTTAAAGAGATGTCCAGAAGTATTTAGGATGTCGTAAGCCATTCAAAGGTCACCACTAGGACGCCTGTACTTTAATGGGTAGAGCTTCAGTGATTGGAGGCGCTCTTCATAAGGCATGAATTTCAGTCCTAGAACTGATTTCGTAACTCGCCATTGGATACGTCCCAGAGTGTCCTTATCCTTTTGGAGTAAGGGAGGAAATACTATGTTTCCGTATTTTAAATGGGAACGAATGAAACTGTTGAAGAGTATGTGGAAAGTTCTTCCGTCAAACCGGCCAAAAATGAGCTTCAATGTTATTAGTGCAAGGTTTGCTCGAAAGGCGTTTTTGTCACAGTTAGCGTGAAGCTTCAAATCATAGGGTGCCAACACTTCAAGATCTTTTTCAACTCGGGATACTTCTAAAGGGGAGTTACCTAATTTGTAGCTTTAGTCTGAAACATCTCTCAGATAGACTACTTTACATTTTGAATTGTTAAAGGTATGTCCGTTGTCATCTGTCCGACTTTGAAACCGAGTCAAGTCATCCTAAAGTACCAATTGGGGGACGCCAATAGGACATTCCATGGCGTGAGAAAAAGCGGAGTTAACCCTGACCTTAAAATGTCGATTTTTTAGATACGAAGTGAGCCAGTCAATTAGAGGTGATTTGATACCCAATCGATTTAGCTTAATGATAAGTATATATGGTTGACCCTATCAAAAGCTTTTGGGAAATCAAGGTAAATGATATCGCCCTTGCCCTTGCGATCAAGGATAACTGTCCATCTGTCCACCGCAGTCAGCAGGTTGATTATACAATGATAACCCTTCCTGAAACCATGCTGTTGGGGTGAAAAGAAGTTTAAGGATAATAAATGGTCGAGTATACCGTCGCATATCAGGGACTCCATACTTCTTGAAGGTATAGAGAGAAGGACCACCAGTCGATAGCTTGAAGGTTCTCTGCGTCGACCTCCTTTGAAAATTGGTGTGATGTGAGACAGCTTCTAAATCTCTGGTAATTTGCTACGGCTCAGTCAGAGCGAGAACAGCACGCCAAGCGGTGTTGCCAAGATTGAAGTAGCTTGCCTCAGTATAGCAGAATGGACCATATGGGGATCAGGAGGACAGATATAAATTTGGTGCTGCACACCAAGTCAGCGCTTCGGTTCACCTGTGAAGAACGTGCGGAATTACAAATGAAGCTTTTATCATTAGTGTGGGTCGATTGAAATGTCTAAGAGTACAGTTCAGCCAGAAGTTTATAGGCGTCACCGTCGTTACTAGTTTGGCCATTAGGGCCTAGCAGTTGAGAAACTTCAATTTTGACCTGTTGAAGAGAGGCTGCATAACGGAATAAGCTTTTCATATTGAAGTCAATTGTATCGGTAAACTTGATCTGATACTGAAGCCTGTCTTCTCTTATTGCCTTTGTGCATATGCTCCTTATTTTTTTGTATTGCCCGTGTGCGCCGTTGTTACCAGTTCGTTCGTATTCCGTCCAGCAGTGCCTTTTGCGGCCTAGCAAACGAAGAGTGCAGTTCTTGATGATTGTAGGTTGCTTGTAGATATAAGGGACCGTAAGTGGGACAGACTGCTTTGTGCAGTAAGAAATCCCACTGAGTATCCACGTCAAGTTGAGGGTGAACTTCCCAATCCACCTGTTGCAGATAGTCCTGTAAAACTGAAACATCCAACCGTTTGAAATTCCAGCGCCTGTTTTGGGTAGGATGTTTTAGCTCAGTTTTGCTGATGAAACTAAAAGCTATGTCGGCGTGGTCGCTCTTCCTTGGGGAAGCCAGGATCGAAAAGTTGTCAATTAGGAATTCTTCGTTTGTAAATAAACGGTCTAAGCGTGACGGCATCTGACTGTTTCTCAACAGAGTTGGTGACTTCACATTTTCGAATAATTCTAGATCTTCAATGAGGCTGAAGAACCGAACTTCAGTAAAGTTTTCACCTCCAATATACGTATGTTCCGCGAAACTGACTTTAGGAAGATTGAAATCCCCTAGAGTCAGGATATGAAGGAATCTGAGACGAGTAGAGCCGGATACCTCTTCCAGCATGTGATTGTCTTACTCGTTGTCAGCAGTGGGCTTCCTGCAGATGACCAACTAGACACCTTGAGGTGGAAGATAATCTTATTGAGCACCATACAGATTCATCAAGATTGATAAACTCTTGGTTGTGCGCCTGATGTAACTCCAGACAAGATCGCAAGCATAAGACTACCCCGCACCCATCCTTGTTTTTCTACAACTGCGAAACAAGGACATCCCGGGCTTTGCAGGCTCCTGGTCCGTAAAGTGAGAAGATATCCAAGTTTAAGATATTCCTCTTAAATGAGCAATATTAGCATTACTCATGTAGTTCATCAATTTTGTTTGGTAAACTCGCTGTGTCCATATATAAGCAGTTTATGCTTTCGATTTGGAATGTCTGGGCTTCCCCGCCCTACTTAGGTGTATCAGTTTTATGTGAATGAACAGGTAACCTAACTATATAAGGTTTTCCGAGTTAGTAGCTTCTGTCCTTTGCACGTTTTTTATTATCAGGACAGCCCACAAGTGGAATGGTCAGCTCCAACTTGTATTTGTGCTTGATGCTGGCGTCTTGTGGCCTCTCCGGATGCATTTGGATCCCGGTTGGTAACCGGCGTCTGCTGGCACGAAATACTTACAGAGTTGCGGCCGCCATATGGGAGCATGGGAAGGTTATCTACATCAGCCGGGGTCTATAATCCCCGTCCTTCTTAGTTAGTCTCACCACTTGTTGACTCAATACGTTCCTGAGCTCCAAGGATTGTTTGATGAATTTCCATTCCCTAACATCAGAGTTTATGTGACGAAGGTCCGTGTTTTCTGGTATATCTTGCACGATGATATTTCCTCCGTGGAAAAACTTCTCGCGAGATTTTTTTAAGGATATTCCAGACGAGACCACGCTCAGAATATACGATGAGCCCGCTTGTGATTTGATACGAATGAGTAACCTAGCCATCAGCTAGGTTATGTTCAGTATAACTAATGACATCAGCACCAACACGAAGACTCACAGAACTATTTAGCTTAATGACTCATTTACTGCTACATGCTAAAGTGGGATCTTGTCATATAGCACTTGTTGTTAGATCCACAAATCGGACTTCTTCAGTGTTTGTCCCACTGAAACAATTCCAGTCAGGCACTCACGAATTCGATAATTCAAAAGACTATAATAGGTCACAGTTTCTTGAGAATTATTTACAAAACATTCAAAATAGTTTAGGAGACACCCAGGGGAAGTATTGGATGGTATTTTGCCGACTGGCGCAGACATTTGATAAAAACCTATTTTTACACTTGGAGGAAGCATCCCTAGCAGTCAAGAAACAATATCCTGCTTAAAGAAGAAGGAACAACCAGTTCACTTTGCCCCAGCTATGAGCAATTGGGTGAATAATAACAAACGTAA